CCAAATTCTTATTAGATTTATATTAAATAATGAAAACTAATGAAAGATGAAAGGCATCAAGATCAAAGTAAAAGTGAAACTTAATGGAATAGCTAAATGTGTAGAAATGCACAAAACAGTACCCTGGTACTTTCAGAAACATTCCTGATCAGGAGAAAGAGATACTTCTGGAAGTAAACTATAACAGTAATTCCTAACAGAACATACAAAGAATTTACATTTTCTTATAAACTGTCAGGGTTTGTGCTTTGTGATTGTTTTGTTTTGTCTTGTCTTGTTTGTTTGTTTACTTGCTCGTTGGTTTTTGTTTGTTTGTTTGTTTGTTTTTGATGTTTTTTCTTTTTCTTGAGTTCCTGGAACTCACTCCATAGATCACATAGATCAGGCTGACCTTGAACTCACAGAGATCCTCCTGTCTCTGCCTCCTAAATGCTGGGATTAAAGGGATGTACCACTGGTGCTGGGCTGTTTATTTAAGATAATGTCTCTCTCTCTCTTTTTTTTTTTTCCGAGACAGGGTTTCTCTGTATTGTTTTGGAACCTGTCCTGGAACTCGCTCGGTAGACCAGGCTTGGTCTCGAACTCACAGAGATCCCCTGCCTCTGCCTCCCGAGTGCTGGGATTAAAGGCATGCGCCACCACCGCCTGGCAAGATAATGTCTCATTTTATAGTCCAGGCTAGTCTGGAAATATGTAGCTCAGACTGGCCTCAAACTTATATCATTTGTCCTGCCTCGGCTTCCTAAGTGTTGTTGGGATTACAGGTGTGTGCCACCATACCTAGCAATACTGTCTTTGAACTGCTTGAATTGGGGAAATTTTTAAATTTAATTTTGTGTGTATATATTTTGTCTGCATGTATGTATGTGCACCATGTACATACAGTGCATGGGGAGGCCAGAGGAGGGTGTTGGATCCCCTGGAATGGAGTTAGAGATGGTTATGAGCTGCCATATTGATGCTGGGAATTGAAACCTGGTTCTTTGAAAGAGCAGTAAATGCTCTTAACCACTGAGCCATCTCTCTAGTTATGGGAAAAACTTTTAAACAACAAAATGTCTTATAGCCTGGCTTATGAGGCTGTGAGATGGGACACATGGGTTCAGTGTGCATGCTTTGGAAACAGAGAAACTGAATAATAGAAGTGCTCATGCCTCCTCGAGACCAAGGTTGCTTAACTTACAGCAACACAAGGGAAATCAGTACCCATGAGTATCAGGAGCTGGAGATAACAGAGGAAGGACAGCCGACGAGGCTGGGTGTGAGAAAGGTGAGTTGACACCTAGTCCCTTGGATCTGAGGGCTATGTGAGCAGGAGTTAAGGGAGCAGTTAATTCAGCTGGGGTCTCTGCTAGCGATTTTGACTTTGCTGACCCCCATAGTGGGACCTGAGGTAGGAGAGGGTCTGGCAGAGCTATATGATTTGGACTAGACTAAATCAAGCATTGAAGGTGAGAGAAAAAAAAGCAGAGAAGGGCTTGTCTAACTCAGTCAAAAGCAAGCATGGCAAGTGGGATGGCCGTTCTTGTTGTCAACTTGACTATATTTGGAAATAACTAAAATGCAAATGACTGGACACATCTGCATTTTTTTCTTTCTTTTTTGGGGGGTGGGTGGTTTTGAAGTATAGCCTTATTGTCCTGGAACTCCCTTTGTAGACTGTATTGGCTGGCCTCCAACTCACAGAGATGCCTGCCTTTGCCTCCTGAGTGCTGGCATTAAAGGCATGTGCCACCATTGACAAGTGGGGGATTTTTTTTTCTTAATTAAATCATTTGTGGTAGAAGAGCCACTTCTAATCTGGATCTTTGAGGTGGGAGGATCCACCTTTAATGTGGGCCACACCTTCTTCTGGAAGCCTGTATAAAGGACATGGGAGAAGGAAGCTCTCTCTCTGTCTGCCCTCACTGGCAAGTCCATCCCTTCACTGGCATTAGAGCCTACTTCTTCAGGATTCCAGCAAATCTAGCCTCATGTACTGAACAACTACTGGATTCTTAGACCTTCTAATGTTAGACGGCTATTTTTGTATTAGCTGGACCACAGCATGCAAACCATTCTAGTAAATCTTGCACTCATATCTGGTTAATACAGCAAGATTCCTTTCATGGTGGAGCTTTTAGTAAAAGCTGCCGAGTCAGAGCTCACAAGCCTCCCAAAGACATTAAAGCTTGAACAACAGCTCTCAGGAGACATGGCTGGGCAGCATAGATAAAAAAAATGTTATGCTTGTCCCCTTCTCTCACCCCCAGAGTAAGCTGTATTCATTTTCCTACAGGAAAGTATATTGGGTAGGGAGATATTTGCCCTGCTTTTGAGTAGCCAGGTGTGGCTGGCTAAAACTCTATTGATCTGGGGAGCCAAATTGAGAGGTTGGTGTAATAGAGGAGCATGACCCTGCTCCCCTTGGCCCTCTGAGCTCACTAGTTTGTAGGAAGGTGTGTGTTGGGCGCAGGATGAGGAGACATGTAGGTTTACAGAGAGCGTCTGGATGGTAGTGCTAAATAACACTGTCTCCCACCACATCACTGTATAACCTTGCTCCTCTGAGGAAGTTACGTAAACAGCAGACCCTTTCATGTTCTTTTGGACCTACTAAAATATTTTAGTGTCCTTAGCTGTTGAATCCCTAGTCCAGTTGGCACTTGTTTGGAACAGATGCTGGTGGGCCTTCAGAGAACCTGCCCACTCTATAAAAAGGATTCATCACACAATGCTAATTTCTGAGAGGTTTTCAGATTTAGAAATGTATCTGAAGGGCATACAAATATATTCAGAGGAGGAAGCATGGGAAATCAGCCCATACAGGGGTCAGGCAACAACTGAACATTTTGAAGAATTTTGTGGTTAGGTAATACAGGTGCCACCCAACAAGGTCATTGAGAAATTCCTTTAACAGCCTATCTTAAAAAAAATGTGTCACAGCCGGGCGTTGGTGGCGCACGCCTTTAATCCCAGCACTCGGGAGGCAGAGGCAGGCGGATCTCTGTGAGTTTGAAACCAGCCTGGTCTACAGAGTGAGTTCCAGGACAGCCTCCAAAGCCACAGAGAAACCCTGTCTGGAAAAAAACAAAACAAAACAAAACAACAAAAAAAAAGGGAGGGGGTGCAAAAACAAACCACAACAACAAAAACCCATGAGTGTCAACTCAGAAACTAAGAAAATCCCAGTGCCGGGGCTACCTCCCTGAGTTGTTAGTGAGGAGTTGTTGGTTACAGGCCAAAACTGCAAGCTCCTTCCCTACTGGTGTGCTGGTAGGTTGGAGAGCACTGTGCAGACTGCCAGAGGAGAATTCTTACCAATGATCCTGCTCAGCTGTGGATCCCATGTGTTATGCTATCAGCATGTTGTGCCAGATTCAGCCACTGGTTCAGTAGTGGCATGATACATGGGTACAAAAAAACTATGGTCCATTTGAATTTAAGACCCATTCCACAGTGGGGACCCATGCCAGACTCAAAATTGTGGCAAAGGAGGACATAGGTTTTAGTAGAGAAGCTATCTTGTTGAATGAATGATTTACTGTCAGATTGTGTGTGCCCCCTCTACCTTGCTTTTGCTTCCTACCTCCTTGCCCCCCTTTTTTTGAAACAGCATTTCCATCTCAGGCTTGTCTTAAACTCACTATGGCTACAGGTGACCTGGGATTACAGGTGTATGCCCTGATCTGATTTTCAAATTCGTTTCCACTATCTGTGCCTATGTCCAGAGGTTTTTTGCTGTGGTTGGCCTTCATTAACACTGCTTTTCATATTAAAGAATGGTGGTTGTTGCAGAGACACAACTGATCAACTGCTGGGAATAAGTGGGTATTGGGATGTAGCAGCTAATGCTCAGCCCTGAATAGAAGAAAATGGTCATACATCTTTAGCTGTCACACTCACCAAGGTACAGGGAGCACTGTAGACGAAGCGATGGAAAGAATGCCAGAACCAGAGGAAAGGGTAGAGTATGTGAAATTCTCTCCTTTAGGTGATGGCATGGCCATTGCCATCTGGAAGTCAGAGCAGCTGTGATTACTGCATGAGGCCCTCCCTCACAAGATTGGCCCAATAATACTCCCTCATGAGAGGAGGAGAGTCCATAAAGCTACCAATTGTTAGAAGGGGCAGACTGCCTGCAAGTTGCTCATGTTCCTGTAAGTAATCCTAATTAAGCCCATTGGTCATTATGTTAGACTTGGGTGGGATTGTTTCTTTGGTCTGTTGTCCTTCCTGAGTTAAGTAGAAATAATCTCCCCAGGAGAAGCCATTCACTATCCCTAAAGGCCCATGTATCAAACTCATGCCTGTAGGTCTTACGATTGGGTGGCAGAACCTAACAGGAGGTCTTTAGGTCACGGAGGATGTCCTATCAAAGGGGGTTCTTGAGACCCCATCCTTCCTCTTCAACTCCCTAACTTTGGCCATGAGCTGGGTGGTTTTGCTCTACTGTCTGTGCTTGCCGTGATAATACCATGGACTTGGCAGCTAAGATTCAAAATAAGCCTCCTTTCCCCATTAGTTGATTGTATATGGTGTTTGTTACTGTGACGGGAAGCTAACACATGCATGTCTCCACTCATTTTCCAATGGGAGTCCTGAGAGTGCTCTCCACACGGCCACCCCCACAATCTTAGCAGCAGGCTCAGCTCCCTGTTGCTGTGCCTAGTGGAAGGCAATGTACCTGGATAACCAGCTAGAGTCCCTAACTTGGGACCATGCACCAAATTCAGAGCTAAAGGGAGCTGTGGCCTCCACCTTCAAGAGCAACCCAGGCGTCAGTGCTGCGGTGGGAGCTTCATCCTCTCACTTCTCTGGTCCTCAGCACCCAGAGTAGGGAGAGATGTTGCCTGCAGCCTGCCCTGGCCATGCCAAATGAAGAGCACTAGCGCTAGCATAGGGGAGTGTTCTGCCATAACCACACCTCCAACTGACTGCCAGCCACCCTAGAGATGTTTGTGTATATGGCTCAGGATCTGCTCATACATGATCATTGCCATGATCTCCCTCTAAGAGAATACTGACATCAGACCTTTATTTTTCCTTATATTGAGAATTCTTACCAAGGGTGTTGGGGTAGGTGTGAACTAAGGTATTCCATTTCCTAAATGTCTATAATGTCACCACATTCCAGGTTGTCCAGCTCACTCTGCATGTGGTCGATGTACTGATTGATCTCCTTCACTCGTTTACGGTTCCTCATGATCTCATCTTTGTGAATCTGAGGAATGGAAGGAAAGCTACTTACTCAATGTGTGTGACAGCTAACATCATTTACTGAGACTGGAGAGAGAGAAGGAAGATGTTTTCCTCAGACCCCCCCCCACACACACACAACATGCATTGCGGGTCTCTCTGAGGCAGGCAGGAGTTACAGACACAATGAAGTATGTGGGTTTAAGAGTGTGACTGGGCCACACTGTCTTCATTGCGGAATTCTACAATCCTTAATTCTTTTCTGTACTTTGTTTCTGATGGAAATAGCACACTGATTGGTAGTTGGAAGCCAGTCTGCTGAGTGGTTGGCATTCGTTACCTTGTCTAATAGATGTGCACACCAAGAGTTGATTCCAGTCACCAGCTCATCTTCTCGGTTGTCAATCTTCAGGAGGTGAATGTCATGCGACGCCCCGACAGCATTAACAGTTGTGTCTTTGTCAACAAAAAGCTGGAAAGTAAGAAGGTCCAAATGAGATTCGTGTGTGTCATTATGCCCTGAGCACAAGGTGAGGGAGTTGAATAGAAACTAGGCCCCTGGGGATGCCCAGGCTGTGTGGCACACCTAGTGGAGAGCCCATACTGTATCAGTCACTTCATGCCAGCTCATTCCTGGACAATAGCCTGCTCCCCAACCTGAGCCATGGCAGCTGTCATGCTGTGGTCCCCATCAAAAGCATGTTTTCTCTAGGGAGATGGCAGGTGGTTAGCCAAGCCGGCCTCATTAGGCATATCAGTTCTCACACAGCCTGTTTCTAGGTAGTCTTAAACCTCTGCTAGTCAGGTCTGGCTGGGTCTCTGGGCTGTTCTAACCCTGGGCCCTGTGAGTGGATAGGTGTCCACCTCCTGTTTGTCTCTGTCAACAGAATCAAGCTTTGCATTTCACTGTGGTCTGCTTTGCCTTGGCTTGTTCCTGGCACTGTATGGTTCTTACAGAAAGCTGGTACAGTCACTTACCTTCTAGTGAGCCTGGCTGGCTCTAGATGCACTCAGGTGGCAATGGGGGAAATGTATCCCAGTCGGGCGAGGGAAGCTTGCTAAAGCTCTGAGGAAGCAGTGCCCCACTCTGAGCCCAAGGTACCATGAACACAAGAATAGCAAAGGCCCTGGGTGTCTTCTGTTGAGAAACTGCAGCTACAGCATACACAGGGGAGCACCAGTTATCTGCAGTGCATGGGGTTCCAGGTTTTGCAGGGTTTGACTTTGGACTATCTACATGGTCTTTATATCACTCCTACAACCAGGAAATCTGAAATCCCAGATGCACCAAAATCTGTTTGGATTTTTGGGTCAGAGATACACAACGGTACTTTGTTTTGCCTCATTTTCTGGAGTATCAGCCTAATTTGGAGACAGCTCCAAAAATAATCTGTCTGATCTTAAAATGTAATGTTCCTACAAAAGGAAGTATTCTTTGATCAAATATTTGGGGGATCCAACACCTCCAAGCTCTCAAAGGAATATTCCAGAGGCACAAAGTGTCTTGAATGCTGTACAAAGTCATGTAGACAACAACCTGCTTGATTCTCTCTCCTGCCTTCTCTCTCAACTGAACTGGCCAGAGACTTCATTTCAGAACAGTGTCTGTGGGATGCCGGTTCACCCCAGAATCCCATGTGAGAAAAGCCAGATTATCTGATGTACGACAATGGATCAGTACAGTTACATCATAGAAATGACAGGAAGTCATTTAATTACTTCCCTACTCAGGCAGTAGGCCAGGCTCTGGTCAGGATCAGAAGATGAAAACCTACCAGTCCACACTGAGGGCTCAGGAGTAAGTAATCTAATAATAGACTTCCTTTGTTTTTGTACCTTTATCTCAAAAAGTATATTTAAACAAGAAACAAAGACAATATGAATTTTCCCCATAAACTCTGCTTTCTTATTACAGTATATTATACATATCATTCCATTATGCACAAATTAAGACTTTGTGCAACTGAACATCTTAAGTTTCAAATAGCTTAGGAAAGAACAGACTATCATTAAGACTATGACTTTAAAACTGGACAGTGGTAGTGCGCACCTTTAGTCCCAGCACTTGGGAGACAGAGGCAAGTAGATCTCTGTGAGTTGGAGGCCAGCCTGGTCTATAGAGCTAGTTTCAGTACTGTTTCACAGAGAAACCCTGTCTTGAAAAAACAAAGTAAAAGACTATCACTAAAAGGTTCTGACCTTAAGTCTCTGCTAGATTGCTTCACTGAATCCCTTCTTTGTTAAAGGAAAAACGTGTGATGAGAACCCATCCACTTAGACTAAGGAATAAAACAGTGTTACTAACCCGACCAGAGTCAAGGTCAAGTCATTTAAACAAACAGATTCACTCTTTAAACATTGTATCAACCACAGCTGGTTCCTCAATGAAATGAAAGTTTCCTGCAACTTTAGGTTTTACTTGAAAACAAAACAAAACAAAAAAAACCCCACATTTTGTAAAGATTACTTGATTTTCCAGATCATAGGTTACACTGAGATCATATCCCATCAGGGAGAAGCAAACACAGACACTGAACATTCATATACACCTACGTATGCTCCAGCTCGCCATCAAAAACTTGAGTGTCAACCAGCACTAAGTGCACCAACACTTATGTCCCAACTAGTGCCCTAGGAATTAAAGAACAAGGAAGACTTTCAGGTTCTGAAATGTCTCTCAGACACTTCATATTCAGCTTGGAGATCAGTTCACTGGGTTCTCCAAGCAGCAAACCCTATCTTCAAATGCTGACTGTCCTGCCACAGCCCCAGAGGGGAGTCTTGAAATATGAGTCTTGGTTTTCTTGTCCTGGGCTGGCATATATCCTCCATGGTGTGGCTCCACAGAAATTCCACTAGGAGTGTTTGCAAGACCAGAGAACCATCACTCTGTGGTACACTTACAGGCAATCTTCACTGTGGATGGATGGTGACTAACAAACTTGTTTGCAGTCTCCAATGCAGCTTGATGAGCATCTTCAGCTTATCAAGCATGTGAACATTCTCCAGCCAATGGGATACACACAATAAGCTCTCCACTCTGGAGATACTCAGAATTGTGGAATAGGGGCTGTGAGCTCCAGTATTTCCAACTCAGCAGCCACATCAGAAAAGTAGCCTGCCCAGTTCTCTCTGGATGTTTCGAGGCCAAGCCTTCTCTGGAGACAAAAGCAGCAACATTCCCTTCGTGATCTACAACCACAGCACGCACTGTGTTCCAAATGCCAATTCATTTTCTTTCTTTCCTTCTTTTTTGTTTGCTTTTTGTTTTTTGAGATGGTTTCTCTGTGTAGTCCTGGCTATCCTGGAATGAAATCTGTAGACCAGGCTGGCTTCAAACTTAAAGATCTGTCTGCCTCTGCCTCCTGAGGGCTGGGATTAAAGGCATCTCACCACTGCCCAGCTACCTCTTGTTCCTTTTAAGTGCAGCTAAATTGAATCTGTGGTCCTGGTGTTAGGAGGGCAAGAGGGTATCCCATGATCAACTGCCCATCCATGGCTTCTCTAACTAATTCAACCTGCTGAGAACTTACTCTTCTGCCCTTCACACAAGAGTCTGTTTGCAACTGAGTCTGTATTCCTGAATCCATTCAGTGCTCTAACTGCTCCAAAATTTCAGGACTTTCCACCCATTATTCAGGTGCCACACTAAATTTCTTCTAAGACTTTTAGATTAGACCCTCTCCCTGCACTTGTAGGCACAGCCTCAGTTCTACCAGAGCACAGTCACTGTACCTGTTGGCTTTGCAATGGCCCCTTATGAGCTCATTTGCATTCTTGTTTATATTTTTTGGCTTCAGACTGAGAACTATGGCCTGGACCTGCATGCACCAACGCAAAGCTCCTTTCTCTTCAAAGCTTTGTTTCTATTTCCTTGACATTAGTTTATCAGCGGATGCCCGAGATGATCTGGAAGGGGTCCTGCAGAACTCATCCCCTTCTCCACAGTTGTTCTCCAATATTAGCTATCAGGAAAGAGCACCCTCCCATCCGAGAGTAATGCAGAAGAAGAATTCTCCCACGGCAGTGCAGAGTACACACTGCCCTGAGCTTCAGAAATAAGTACAGCCCCAGCATCAACTCTAGCATTTCTTTAGCACTTCTTGGGAATTTGCAGTTCCTTGCATGGACCAGACCTGAGCACTGACCCAGCTCTTGCAGCTGCACTCCTGTATGGATGTCCAGAGTTCCTAAGAGTGCAGGTGACAACCCTTCTTTCTGTTGGCTCTGAGCTCTCTCTTCAGCTTGGAGTATTGAATTTTCTGCCCAGGTTGGAGGACACAAATACAGGAAAGCTGGGCCAGGAGTGTGGCATGGCCAACAGTATTTGGCTTTGGAAACATCCTAAGTCATGTGACTTTTCGATCATGATCTGTGCAACAACCTCTGGGTAGCAGAAACCAGATTGCTTTCATCCTCAGCCCTCTTCCTCTTCTGGACCATTCTGGCCATAGGCCCAGGAAACATTTTGTTGAGCCAATCTGCCTGGGTCCAAATCACAGCTCCACTGCTATAATCTCTGTGCTTCACTTTCCTTGTCTGTATGGAAACCTGGTGGTGCTCACTCTCCATATCTACCTGGAGATTAAAGGGGCTGTTTTGTGCCAAGCCTTCTTGGCAGGCTGGCTCTTAGAGGCTACAGCATACACCAGCTATTGCTGTGGTCATACTTTCTCATAGTCAATGTTTTTCTCCTGAGAAAACAGGCTATTTCATTGCTTCAGCAAAGGACACCTGTGGGTGTCTGAGGATTTCTTATCTATGACTGAATATTCCTAAGAAGAGGCTTTCACTGGCTCTCTCCCAGGAGGTTTTGTTTTGGTTTGGTTTGGTTTTTCAAGACAGGGTTTCTCTGTGGCTTTGGAGGCTGTCCTGGAACTAGCTCTTGTAGACCAGGCTGGTCTCGAACTCACAGAGATCCGCCTGCCTCTGCCTCCTGAGTGCTGGGATTAAAGGCATGCGCCACCATCACCTGGCTTGTTTTTGTTTTTGTTTTGTTTTGTTTTGTTTTGTTGAGATAGAGTTTCTCTGTGTAACCCAGGCTGTCCTGGAACTCAGAGATCCATTTACCTGTGCTGGGATTAAAGGCACGAGCCACCACTGCCTGAGGCTTTGAAGGCAGTAATCTACTCCAGTCTTGCTAGTGAATCTAAGAATCCTTTAGCAGAGATGCAGAGCCCCATGGCCTGGTACCATGGGCACCCCCAAAATGCCTGCCAGCTGTGGTGAATAGGGAAGGGTGCGGTGCTGACTACGGTTACAAGTCCAGCACTGTCTGTCAGACTTGAGTCAGAGTTCAGACTCTTGTCCTCACTGGCTGTGCCATTCTCACCGTGCACCCATGAGCCTGCCCAGTGTTCTCATTCATAACCTCAAGTGGAAATGGTGCTACTTTGGTGAGGAAATGAGGTCAACGGGCTGGATGGTGGTGATCCTCTAATGAAGAAACTGTTGCCAGATACTACAGTGGCAGACTGTGCCACCTGGGTGAGGGGGCAAGCTGATCTGCCTCTCTGCCGATGGTCCCTGGGGCCATATATCACTGTGTTACAGTCACTCGGGAGTGAGCATGGCTCAGTGATGTTCACTGGGTGTCACAAGCCTAAAAACTCTACCACCCCATGAGTACTGTCAGAGACTTTCAGAACGTCTCAGAGGAGACTTGCTTCTGGGTAGGGCAGGGTAGTGTTTTCTTGTCTGGTCAACAATGAGCTCTGTAAGTGGCTTGTGGATAGGGTTGGTGTGACGGTGGCCCTGCCGAGTGCTGCTGTGTTGGGTGTCTGTCCCAGCCTCAGAACAGAGGCTATGGGGTCAAGGCTGCTGGCCTTCTATCTGCACAGCTCAGCCCAGCTCCTGATACAGTAAAGATTTAGTGAATATACCTTTTCATCCACTCAGCTCCAAGATCACTCCCAGCTGCCATGCTAGATGCTCCTGCTGGCACAAGTGGTCCATTGCAATGAGAAGATCATTTCTGTCCTCCCTCATGGACTTTTGTAAAATATGAATAATTGTGGAAACAAATCAACATGAACCAGAGTTTAAAACTGTGACCTGGCTGATGGGGAGTGAAAAGGGGACAGTAGTTTAAGGGGTGCTAAGGAAAGGCCCCTCCAGAGAGCTAGCTAGCACTTGAACCGAGAACTAAATGTCAAGGACAAGAAAAGCACATAGAGATTGAGGAGTGAGCATGTCTGCAAGACAGAATGTGTCCTGGCTGGTTTTATGTCAACTTGATATAAACTAGAGTCATTAGAGAGGACAGAACCTCAATTGAAAAAAACGCCTCCATAAGATAGTGCTATAAGGCATTTTCTTAATTAGTGATCAGTGGGGGAGGGCACAGTCCATTGTGGGTGGTGCCATCCCTGGGGAGGTAGTCCTGGGTTCTCTAGGAAAGTATGAGGAGTAAGCAGCTCCATGGTCTCTGCAACAGCTTCAGCAACAGGTCCCTGCCCTGCTTGAGTCTCTGCCTTGACTTCCCTCAGTACTAGGTTATAACCTGAGGGCTATATGATGACATAAACCCTTTCCTCCCTAAGTTGCCTTGGTCGTGTGGCCTCATCACAGCAACAGAAACCCTAACTAAGACAGATGTCAGTTGAAAGGTGCAAGCCCGACAGAAGGGAGTACCCAGAGGCTGGTTACTGAGCATCAGAACCTGGGGTGGGGCTGCCAAGGGAGGCAGGCCTACAACTCTCTCTAAGATCATGGCAAGCTGGGAGGGGCGAGGATTGTGTGGTCTGGGTTTCCAGAGGATCCACCTGTCTGTATATGGAGAACAGTCTATAAGAGGGCGGCAAGGAGCCAACTGGAACATGGCCTGGTGATAGCATAGTGCTGGAGAGCAGCTGAGGAACTCAGTAGTGTATGAACAAAAGCTGGCCCCTGAGGGGGAAGTATTGGGACCTGTGCCCATTCATTGTTGCCTGGATCCCTTTCCTAAAGGCATTCATATGCTGCTGCTGGAGCTCAGGGTGGACTCAAAGATGCCTCCTTAGTATAGACCGATGATGGATCCCCAGTATTCATCACTATCTACCCTGGTGGAAACGGGGGTGGTGTGGTACTGGGCCAGACATGAAGCTTTCAGGTATACCAATGTTGCAACTCTTGCTATAGACACGGTATGGTTCTGACACCTGAGGGAGATCTCTGGTCTTTACCTCTGTGTACAACGGCTTCCTTAAAAAGTGTCAGAAGACCCCACAGAAAACAGCTTGTAACCACCTGGTTATCCCAACTGTAACCACCTGACCATCCTCAACTGTAGGCATCTTGTTAGCCTGTTTCATCAGTTGGTATTCCTGCACAGCAGGCTACTGTCTCCTTCAGGAGGCTCCAGGAGCTGGTCGTGCTTAGGCAAAGCTGTGAGTTGGCTGTACTTCACCTATCTACTCTCTGGCCCCAACAATGTCCACGGCGCCCGGTCCTTCTGCCCATACTCACTGCCCGCACGTCATCAGGCAAGTCCTCATCCATCTCGCCCTTGAGAATCTTCTCCAGGGTGTTGATGGCGATCTCCAGGAGCTTCTCGTGGTGATGGTTCTCCAAGTCTCGGCACTGAGCCATCCTGCAGTTGTGAGTTAAAGCTGGGGCAGAACAGGCCAGGTGTCTCTCACCTGTGATTGGGCCTCTGCTAAACAAGGCCATGCAGTCTCCACTAGACAGACTAGTTTCTAAGACAGTGCTTCTCAACCTTCCCAAGGCTGCAACCCTTTACTACAGTTCCTCATGTTGGGGTGACCCCAACCATAATATTTTGTTGTTACTACATAACTGTTAAGAGTCATAAATATCTGACATTCAGGATATCTAATGTACAGAATATCTGATGTTACCCCTGCTGTAAGGGTTCAAGATCTGCCTTGAGATGCTAAGAGGCATCATGGCCATCAAGCTGTCACCAACATGCATCAAAGCTCAGGTGCCTTCCCATGGGGTGAGGTAGGTCTCATCACAGAAAGGATATAGACTTTGGACATTTTCAATAAATAGTCCCACCAAGTCAGTGATGTTTCTTTCAAATATGTTTATAGCCTCCTGGAAATGATAGAGAAGATAGTCAATATGTGTATCGACATCCTTGGCACCACCTCAAATCACAGACCCTTAGAGGGAAAGACCACCCCCTTGACTTTGTAGGGCAGATGGATAAAGATTGACCCTCCCTTTCCAGAGCTCTGCTGCTCTCCAGTGTCAACTCACTACTCCCTGAATGTTTATGTTGTCAATGTTTTTTTAAAGAGTTACTTATTATATGTATATGAGTATTTTGCCTACATGTATGTATGTGTACTGTGTGCATGCCTGGTGCCTGCAGAAGTCAGGAGGCAGCATCAGATTCCCTAGAACTGGAGTTACAGTTGAGACCTGCCATGTGGGGGTCTGTGATCCAAATCCAGGTCCTCTGCAAGAGCTATAAGTGCTTTTGACCAGTGAGCCATCTTACCAGCTACTGCTACTGGGATTTAAATTTTTTATATTACATTTGTGTGTGTGTGTGTGTACACGTGGAGATCAGAGGACAATTTGGAGGAATCAGTTCTTCCACCATGTGGATCCCAGGGATCAAACTCAGATCGTCAGGCTTAGTGGTTAGAGCTCTTACCCACTAAGCAAGAGCATCCTGCAGCCCTGTCACTGAGCCTTTTACCTAGGTAGCTGCCCCTGCTAGGAGCCCATATCCTGGTCCCAGTCCCACCCCCCCCAATGGACTCCTTCTTTTAGGCCTCTTAGCAGGATGTGTCCATCATCTTCACAAAAGCAGTAGAGGGAGATCTCAAGAGCCAGCTCAACTCCAGGGACACCATTTAATCTCTCTGTGAGAGAGGTTTTCTGTGTAGTGTCATGGTGGTTAGTGGGGTAAATTAGCTACATCACCCAAATGATTTACCAAGTATCTATGAAAGCCAGCACCTTGGGTAAGTGCTGGCTGTTACCCTAGACTTCATCAGCTAGCTGCTGTTCCCAGTACTTAGCAGAGCACTTGAGGCCTAAACAGATCTCAATGTTGTTGAGAAAGCGGTAGAAGAATGTGATTGTGAAGCTTATTCCCCTGGAAGACTCTTTCCATGACTTTCCACTGACCTCCAGCACTACAAGTTGAGCCCATGGATGGATGAACACCGGGCATCCACAGGAGCCCAAGGCCTATCTGCAGTCTGTGAAAACGAGCCCATTCTCACTGTGTGTGAGCATCATTTTGGTGAATAAAATTAAGGTCATTAGAAAACCACAAACAAGTGTCTTCCGGCCTTAGGTGGCGGTGACATGGGTCAGAACGAGAGCATGGATCTGGGAATGTTTGGATACTGAAAACAATCTCCCTGCTTGACAGGCCTGGGAGCCAGCAGCAGCCCTCCTCGCATGCGCTGCCTCTGCAGTACTTGAGCAGAGCAATTCCCGGTGGGAAATGAGCGGCTGCTGTGCTGTGCTGACAGCGAATCTGTCCTGCGTAGGAAGTGCAACTTGACGTGTGAGGAATTGATTAGGCACTGTCTCTTGGCCCAGCCATGGCAGCATCTGATGAGGTCCAATTCATCACACCACTTCCAACTCCCAGCCTGGCTGCCTGTAAACACACAAGTCACCCGGGCTACAAATGCATTTGAGACAGCCGTGCTTTTCATTTCCCATCGTCAGTGCCAAGTGACAGGCTCCTCACGTGGCCTACCCAGAGACAGCAAACACAGGCTGCATCACTGACGAGCCTTTGTTTGGTTCCCGAGTGGAGGTCCACCTTCTCTCACAAGCCTCCCAACTTCCCCTTGGGTCTAATAAGAAATATGCACTCTGTTTGAGACTCTGGGATCTTCTAGGATGGGGGAGAGGAGATTTTCAGAGGGATAAGTTCACCTCTCATTTTCCAGAAGAATCCTTTCCCAGGAAGCAAAGATAGCAGTGTATGCTCTCCTTCCTTCCTTCCTTCCTTTCTTTGCATTGCTAAGGATGGAACCCAGGGCCTTGTCTGTGCCAAGCAAACAAACAAACACTGAGTTACACTTTCATCCCCTGCCTTTAATGTATTTTAATAGTTCTGGAAAGATGTGATTGTGTGTGTGTGTGTATGTGCATACATGCTCATATTCATATGTGATGGCATACACATGTGTGTTGGGGGGCTGTGTGCACGTTGGATGGAGGCAAAGGGCAACCTCACGCACCATTTGTCTGTTTCTCCTCTCACTGGCTTGGAACTAAATTGCTAGGCCATTTGGCCAATGAGCCCTAGAGCCCACCTGTCTCCACTGTCCATTCTTCTCCTACGTGTCCACTGGGTTACGCTGGACTCACAGGGGAAGAGGCTGTAGAGGGCATGATTGCAAGCTTCTGCAGATGCGTGCTGAGGCCCCTGCACATTTGCCAGTCTGACTCTACCTCCAGCTGCTCCACCAGCTGCATCTCCAGCGTCATGAGCATGTTGAACAGGTCATTGATGTCATCACTGCATTCTGTTAACTTCTTCTCAATGTTGGGCAGTTCAGTCTCTTCTCGGATGGCGTTTAAATTCTACAAACAAAAAGCTGTGTTTCAGGACTCAGTAGTTAAATATGTTACTTAGTAACATAGGTAAAAACTTGGGAGTCTTGCATTGAAGTGCCCAAATTCAAGCATTAGCTTGCAATTTGCTAGCTGTGACCTTTGGGGAAGCTTCCGGCTGCTCTGGCATATTGTATATATAGGCACTTGAAAATGGCAGGTGCAAAAGAACATTTATCTCCTTGAAAAACAGAAGATGAAATTCCCATGGGCAAGGTTCCTTGCCTGTGCCAGGAGGAGGGGAAGACATTCTTATCATCAGAGATGGGAGCCATGACTGAAGAAAATCTGTGCAAATCAAGCTTTTAAAACTAACTCATGGGAATGGAGACATAACTCAGCAGTTAAGAACCCTGGTTGGTCTTCCAAAGGACCTGGGTTCAATCACCCAGCACCCACATGGCAGCTCACAACTATCTGTAACTCCTGTTCCTGAGGCTCTGATGCTCTCTTCTGGCCTCCATAGGCATCAGGGATGTAAATAATGCACAGACATACATGCAGGCAAAACATCCATATACAAAACCAGAAATAAATAATAAGAGGAATGGACTCATCCTAGGTTCATCCTGTGTACAATCCCAGCACTCAGGAGCAGAGATAGCAGATGTGGGGGGACTGGAATTGAAGGCTAGTCTAAGATCCACAGTTTGGAGCTGGAGTGAGGCCCTGTGTCAAAAATCCAAAACCAAAACCCAGAAACCAAACAAATGAAAACAAACAAAAAGCTTAGAAAGAAACAAAACAGAAGCCGGGCGGTGGTGGTGCATGCCTTTAATCCCAGCACTCGGGAGGCAGAGGCAGGTGGATCTCTGTGAGTTCGAGGCCAGGCTGGACCGATAGCCTCCAAAACAATACAGAGAAACCCTGTCTCGTAAAAACCAAAAAAAAAAAAAAAAAAAGAAACAAAACAGTAAGGCACAGCAGCGCCCACCTTTAATCCCAGGCCCGGCCCCCAATCACTTCTTATCAGTACCACTTTTCAATCTTACTACCTTATGGGCTGAAGATATATCCACTCCATAGCAAAAACAGTTCCACTCTTTGAGCAAACCAGACAGACCCCGTTAGAGTCCCAGGGAGCAAGTGGAAGTCCATGGAAAATAGGCTGAACATTTTGAATGAGACAGTCTCATGGGCTGATGAGCAACCGGTTCATCAGAAAGGTCCCAGTAACGTGACCAGCACCAGAGCAATGCAACCTTGTTTTGTGACTGGTTAGTGGGACAAAGGACATGTTTGCCTGCCTGGAAAGGACCCAGCTCATGCTAACCACAACCCTTACTTGAAGATGAGTGAAGGTTCCAATGCAAAAACAAATGTAAAAAAGCAAGAAGAAAATCAGAAGACACTTTCTTCTTTGAGACATTGTCTCACATAGCTTTGGCTGGTCTCAAAACTTGCTAGGTAGCTGAAGCTAATTCCCTTGCTTCTACCTTCTAGGAGTGTGTCCCCACACTTGAATTTATACGGGACTGAACCCAGGGTTTCATGCTACACCAGCATCATACTAACTGAACTACATCCTCAGTCCAACAAGAAAGACCTTCAGTGGAGACTCTCAGAGTGGAGAAATGCTTTCCAAGAACAACCAGGAGGAAGACTGGTAAATTTTATTCTATTACAAATTTATGCCAGTGGTAGTGCAAGCCTTAAATCCTAGCACTTGGGAGGCAGAGGTGGGTCGAGCTCTGTGATTTCGAGGCTAGCCTGGTCTGCAGAGTTCCAGGACAGGCAAAAGCTACACAGAGAACCCATCTGGAAAAACAAACAAACAAAAAAACCCACCAAACTATCTATCTATCTATCTATCTATCTATCTATCTATCTATCTATCTATCTCTCTATCTCTCTATCTCTCTATCTCTCTATCTCTCTATCTCTCTATCTCATTATATGGAGGTATAATATGCTCAGTAGACTGCCTGACTATACAAACAAACACTCCACATGACAAAAGCACCATAGAAAAATGTCAAGATAAATAGCAAATTGGGAAAAGTACTCTCAAGTTACTTCATGGACACAGGGCTACTAGCTCAACCTATAAAGAGTCATCATAAAGTAATAGCTTAAAACATATAAGGGAGAGAAAGAGAAAAGTACAGGATGGCTGTGCAAAACCAAGGGCAGGCTAACATGAGAGACTTGTGAGGAGCAGGAAGGCTGAGATTGGACTCAGTGGGTGCAGAGTTCCACTAAACCCCAAGGCTCCACGACTTGATCTGCAGCAGAGGGGCCCCAGGAACCTCCCAAGTTCCCTGGATTTTCTCTGGAGGTGAGTCTTTCCGTAGACCTAGGACAACCCTGACCACTCTGTCACTCAGATAAGAAAGGGTTTGTCCCAGAGCTCAGGGCCCAGGACCTTACAAGGTGGGAACTGCCAAGGACAGGGAGAATGCCAGGGCCAGGCAGAGTGAGGCTTGGAAAATAAATGCCTGCTGAATGAATGAGTGAATGAGTGAATGAGTGAATGGATGAATGGACAAACAGAAGAAAGTATGGGTATTACTACCTGGTGGTACAGATAATACCACAGCTCACACGAATGATGATAGGGGTGGGGGGCTTGAATCCTAGGGGTATCTGACATGAGGGAGAGCCCCTGTGTTGGCTCAGTGGAGTTTTGTGTGGGGCCATGTGGTGAAACTGTGACCCCTGGTACGTGGACAGAGACTTGGGGCTTCAGAATCACCAGAGGACATGGACACTGCAGCCCCTCCACAGTGAGGGGAGTCCTAGCAGCCTGGCACAGGAGAAGGGGACTTACCAGCAGATGTTTTTCCTCAAACTTGGCAACCTTGAGCTTGCCCTTCTCCTGGTTCTCCTGGATGGCCTCCTGCATGCACTCATTGAAAGTGTCTAACTCTGCCTTTCGCTTCTCCTGCTGCTTCAAGCCATATTCAAAAATGTTCAGGCAGATGACGACAAATTTGTCCTTGTAGGTAAGTGGCTGTTAAGGAAGCTTGGGGCTCAAGAGCAGGCCATTAGAACTGTGACAAAATTGTTGACAATTCCTTGCAGGACATGCTAAGCTGAGCACTTTGGAGGCTACAGGCGACCCTTTTGGACAGAAGGAGAAACAGAGAAGCCAGGGAGCTGGGGCTTGTAATTTGGTTATGGCATCTCTACCTGTGCCTAACGAATCAGGAACATGGCTAAAGGCCTTAGAAGAGACTTCCAGAGAACTGGGGGTGTGGGTGAGAGCTAGAAGCAGCCTGGCTAGGAGAAGGAGGTGGAGTCCCTAAAAAAAGTCTCTGGTTAAATTAAGATTTTTTTCTTTTATCTTCTGGGAAGGGCCTGCCCAGTGGCTCATCTGAGCCAAGAGAGGAACCAGATGGACTAGGTTCAAGTCATGGCTCCAAAGCTGCTTCTGGGACCCAAGTTAGCAAGTCATCTCTCTAGGCCTTAGTATCCTTACCTCAGCTAACAGCATGGAGGAAGCCACCACAAGAATTCTTTGGAGGCTGAGCACGGTGGCACACACCTTCAGTTCCAGAATTGGGTGGGGGCAGAGGCAGAGGATTTCTGTGAGTGAGTTCTAAGCCAGTTAGGGCTACAATAGTGAAACCTTGACACACACACACACACACAGACACACACACACACAAGCATCATAATGTTGAGGTTCTGGGTAGATAGACACTGAGAAAGTTGTCAGGTTCAATGCAGCCACTAATGTCTAGGCTCTGCCCTTAGGAGCTCACCAAGGCTGGGAGGGCCATGTATGGAGGTTTTCACATAGGAGCCATCAACAGGGTCAGCCAGCTTCATACTCTCACATGCCCAACCCAGGAAAAGGACTGGCTGTACCCCATGACTACTATGGCACCCTAACATCATGCAGCGCAGTCACTTTTTTTTTTTTTTTTTTTTTTGGTTTTTACGAGACAGGGTTTCTCTGTTTTGTTTTGGAGGCTATCGGTCCAGCCCGGCCTCGAACTCACAGAGATCCGCCTGCCTCTGCCTCCTGAGTGCTGGGATTAAAGGCATGCGCCACCACCGCCCGGCACACAGTCACTTTTCATTCCCAGGGAATCCTGACCTTTCCCAAATTGCAATTCTAGTTTCATATCTTATTCCCAAATAATACCTCCTTTATTAGAGATTCATCTCTGTAGTTTTTCTGGAGATTGACAGCAGTGTTGGTGGCCCCACAGAACTATCTGGGACTGGCTATCTCACCCCAGAGCCCTCAATTCCTGAATGCTTCATGTCCTGGAGGTCCCCTCCATCTCCTGCTTACCACTGAAGCTCTCATGATCACTGCCACTATGTGTAGTGAGTGCTGATTATATCTTGGACTTTAAATACCTAGGTGACAAATGCAAGCTCTTAGGTTCCACAGATGAGTGATCCTGTACAAGCTACTTAACCTCTGGGGTTACTAATGGCAGCCACCTGGTGGGGTGCTTACGGGGATGTGGATCAAGAAAGAGCAGTAATGTAGCCAGCGGAGATCCTTGATGTAGGAACACATTCCCTACTTCTACCTCAGAAAACTCAGCTTGCCAGGTATGGCAGACCCAGCCAGCAGCTGTCACCCAATGTGCTTGCGGAAATCTAGACAGCACTGCCCCACAAAGTTCAACTGGTCTGCATACATATAGTCAGCAGATATTTAAATACGTGAATGATGGGGAAACTGAGGTATAGAGTAAAATGAACTTGCCTAAGGCAAGCTGGTGGTACTTGGGCCAGGCCCTTACCAAAGAGGCAGCAGTGACTCGGAAAGGATATGTCTCAAGAAGCTCACCAACACCAGGTAGGTAGGATAGCTTGTTGCCCTCCACATCCTCAGAATACATGCTGTTAAACAGGAAGGGGCCATCCAAGTGCTCAACGAACGCCAGCTGTGGATTCAAATGCCCAGATATGTGACCCAGAGCCAGGTTCCTGGGAGGGTTGAGGCAGCAAAGGGACATCACACCAGAGTTGCAGCCCTCCCTCCCAGGAAGGCAAGTGTGTGTGTAGTGTTCCCGGCACAGGGAGGGTCTGTGCAGAGGTGTAGAAGATATAGTGGCAGGCTGTTTCCAAGTAGTGGTCTACCACTCTGTCTAGGTTCATCGGGGGTTGGGGCTGGTCCTAGGAAAGCCAGCAGGGCATAGTCACACATTCAGAGACACAGAGCTCAAGACTAAATTGTAACTTCATGGGATGGGAAACAGCTCAAGGATCTTCAGTAAAGGAGTCCCTGGAACCAAGTGTTTTTAGGACAATCTCTTTGGGCTTAGGGGTAGGGGGTAGAGACTGGGCTGAGCTGCCTCCAGAGATGGTGGGTGATTAGGGAGGAGGTGTCAGGTCCTGTGGCTGCAGTATGCCTTACAAGTTTTGGGAGTCTGGGGAATCCCTGTGGGTCTTTAATGTGACCAGTTCTCTCACGGTACTTCTGTGGCTAGGCCAGCTGTCTGTGTGTACCTTGTGCTGTGCCAGTTTCTCCTGCTGCAACTTCTGGTCCTCCAGTCGGGCCTGCATCTGTGCCTCCCGGTGCTTCAGCTCATCAATGCTATACTGATGCTTCATCTTCGCCATCTCCTTCTGATGCAGGAACAGAAACGGCAGTTACCAAAGGCTATCCAGTCCCCCCAGTCACACATCCTCGGGCCTTGTGAGCATGGCTAGTGTGTTGGAGGCTATCTTTTGTAAAGACTGGGAAAGGCACGAGGCCTTGGAGATTAGAACGCCTAAATCTTTCCAGGCCACCTATATCTGGGGAAATCACAGAACTGAAGGCCTCCAAGAACCTGCCCTGAAGCAACCCGACAGGCCCCTGGCCCCTTCCTTAGTTCTATGGTACCAGTGTGAGATTAGCATCATGGTTGGAGGGGAGATCCACTGCCTGCTTGACAGAGTTCTGCTTTTACGAACTTTTAGTCATTATTCATTTTGCATCATGGAAGGACATGCAGGCCACATGTGCATCTGCCCTTGATGGGAACTTCTGAGTATCCGGGAGACCAGGCTTGAGCACAGGCCTTGGCACTGCAGATGCAGGGCTGACCTGTAATCTTTATTCAGTGCTGGGTGAGTGCTAGACTTCAGAGCTACACCTCAGCCCCTGTCCTGTGCTTTTTAAAGGGCATAATTCCAAAAGTTTTTGGGTCTATGATGCATTTCAAGTTAACACCTGAATTGGCTTCTTAAGCTGAGGGTTGCTATCTGTACTGAATGGAAAACTGGATGTGGATCTCTGTCTCTGTCTCTGTCTCTGTCTCTGTCTCTCTCTCTCTCTCTATCTCACACACACACACACACCACAGATTGACAACAATAAAAGTTTTCTGAACATATAATGACCAGAATTTAATTTAAAATCAAGTGTATGGTGAACCCCAGATGTTTCTGGCCTTGTTTGACCATGCTGCATTAGATGATGTCACTATAGTCTTGGTTCTGAGTAGAAAACATGCACACCCTATGTGCACATGAATGTCATCTACCAGGCTTCCTGGACCCCCCACCTGGAACCCCGATTTGAGACAGTGTTGTTTACTGTACAAAGTTTCCTGTTGTTATAAAAAATTGTTTAACTGCAGAAAATAACGATTTTAACTTTCCTACCACCATTCTTTGGCATGTAACCATCATTATTATACCTTTTGATTGCATTATGTTAGGATGTTTGGTTTTAAAACATGCTGTTTGAGCTGCTGACAAGTTTCATTAAATGAATTTTGTCTTGGGATTAGGACAGAATTCCCATAATTTTTCTTTAAGATTATATTATTATTATTGTGTATATATGATGCATATGTGTGTGTGGGAGCATGTCCAAGGGGCAAATATAGGTCAGAGGACAGTGTTATATAGATTCTGGGGCTTGAACTCAAGTTTCCAGACTTATATAGCAAGCACCTTTAGCCCAATGAACCATTTGCTGACCCCTCTACAGTTTCTGAAATGGCCCTAAACATAATTCTGCCATTTTATTCTATGTATTCATGCAAAGCAGTTCTTATCATTGAGAACTAGAAAATCCAAATATTGATCAACTCTTAAAGTCAATTAAGCCTCTTCATCTTGCATTTTATATCTAGTCTTGATTTAATGTTTGTTTAAGACAACATCTCTCCACATAGCTATGGCTGACTTGGTACTCACTAGACAGACCAGGCTGGCCTCAGACTCACAGAAATCTGCCTGCCTCTGCCTCCTAAGTGCTGGGATTAAGCTGTGTGCCACAATACCTGAACTTCACTTTTTTAAAGATTTCATCTATTGTATGTGTGAATGTTTGGCCTATATGCACACACATGCACCATATGTGATGTTTGATGCCCTGGAACTGGAGGGAATCCAGTTATAGATGGCTATGAGTTGCCATGTGGGTGCTGGGAACTGAATCCAATCCCCCTGCAAGAGTAGCAGTTCCTCACACTTGGCTTTTTTATGTAATTTCTGGAGATCAAACGTGTGGCAAGCACTTTGCTAACCAAGCTATCACCTTTAATAAATGGTAAACTTCTATGTGTACCAAAGAACTGTTTTAAAATAAACTTCTTTATGATTTATTATCAATAACTGCTTAATTTGAATATCTATTTACCTATAGTCATGTAAGTTTTCTCAGGCAAGAAGGGTCTACAAGAAGAAAACAGCGTATGAACCCTGCTCTGGAGATGAGACCGACGTTTAAGAGCTTGCTTGCTTGGTTTTTAGTTTTTTGAGACAAAGTTAGAATTGCTGTGGGTGACCTGAATCTAGCCCAGGTTGTCTCAAACTACTGATCCTCCTGCTTCAGTTGCTCATGTGCTAGGGTTAGAGGAGTGTGCCAGCTTATCCACTGAATTTAAGAATCTCAGAACTGGTCAGGTGTGGTGGTACACACCTGTAATCCCAGCACTCAGGAGGCAGAGGATCTCTGTGAGTTTGAGGCCAGCCTGGTACACAGAACAAGTTCCAGGACAACCAAAGCTACACATAGAAACCCTGCATCAAAACACACACACACACACACACACACACACACACACACACACACACACACACACACACTTGGGGCTGGAGAGTTGGCTCAGTGGTTAAGAGCACTAGCTCCAGATGATTGGTGTTCAATTCCCAACACCCACATGGCAACTTACACCAACACCAGGGCTTCTGACGCCCTCACACAGACATACATGCAGACAAAGCACCAATGAACATAAAATAAAAATTTTTAAAGTCTCCAAATTAAAAATCTCAGAGCCAGGCATTGCAAATACCTGTAATTTCAGCACTTGGGAAACTGAGGCAGAAGGATCAGAAGTTATGTTATTTTTGGGCTATATAGTGAATTCAAGATAAGCCTGGACTGCATCAGACTGTGATCTCAAAAACACAAACAAAACCAAAGAACAAGAGAAATACTCAAGTTCACATTGTCACAAGGAAGCCCACTGTCAGCGGGGGTAGGGAAGCAGCTCTCTGACTCCTCTTATTGCTGTGAACATCACAAGACTTGGCTTTGAAGCCAGGCCCTAGAGGATCAGGGTGTCTAGCCCTCCTCTCTGTTCAGATAGCCTTTCTTGTATACTCCCTGAATCCCTCAATGTGCCAAATATAGGTTCCTCTTTCTCAACAAAGGCACACAACTTCCTATGGGAAAAACCAAGTAGGTCAGCAGCCTTTGGGTTTCCAGGCACCTGACTTAGAGAGACTCCATAGTCTTGCTACTAAAGGCCTCATACAATGAACCATACACACAGAGGGAGCAGCAGGAGAGAGGCACTCACTTATGGCAAGGGAGAGGGGACATCACACACACACACACACACACACACACACACACACACACACACACACACACACTAACTGGCCCAGCACAGCAGGCAGCTGAAATACCAATTCCCTGGAGCCAACTCCTAGATTAACCCTAACTGACCGGGAGACTATGGGAGAATCATTTCCCTTGTGTGTCAATTTCTGTGTACTTCCAGAACAACAGGGGTGAGAGCAGCCTGAAGGGGACAAGACTCAGGGGATCGCTGTGGATTGCTCTCAGGCTCAAGCCTGGGGTGAGTTCTACCCTGCTCACGATCATGACAATTTACTGTCCCCTTCCTTTACTCTCCTTAAAGTCTTCACCGGGACAACAGCTGGATGGCTGTGCTTAGGTGGGGAGAGGACTCAGTCAGGATCCATCTTCTCTTAACCATGGGTGGGGAGATGTCCTCATTGTCTCTCAAAACCTGGGGCCCTAAAGACTGTAGAGCAGGACTGGGGACACAGCTGGGACACTTGCCGCCTGTTCATCAATGCGCCGGAAGTCCAGGTACACCAGGTCAGGAAGATAGGCATAGATGAACATCTTGTACTCCTCTGCCTCAGCAACGGGGTTTCCAGAGAGGGTGAGTGTTCGAAGGTCTGTGAACCGACGCAGGTAGAGGATCTGCGAAAAGGGGAAGCAGAAGTCTGCCACAGAACTGGAATAACAACAGCTCCACCCCTCTACTCCCTTCCTTTCTTAGTCTTCGGCCTGGCCAGGGCACCTTCTACACAGACAGGTGAGGGCCTGTGGCTTCTGAGTCAGACTTTAGTGCTGAGACCAGTCACAAGCTTTCAGAAGAACCAGACAAGGAGAGCTCAATCCTAGCTGAGGGACATTCGGCAAATGATCAGTCCTGTGTGTGAGCCTTGATTCCCTCCTCTATAAAACGGGCAGAACAACACGGTGTGTCATCAGAAGGCCAAATGAAATAAACTATGAGACACAGTTAGTAAGGTGCACGACAACCACTGCGTGAGTGACTACTTACAATAGTGTGACCTCTTAGATAGTAAAACCACACGAAAGTCCCAAATCTCCTACACTAAATGGAGCCGGATTCTGGCTCACCGCGCGCGCGCGCGCACACACACACACACACACACACACACACACACACACATTTAAATTAGAAACAAGCTTATTTTACATGTCAATTCCACCTCCCTCTCCCTCCACTCCTCCCCTGTCCCCCCAGTCCCCCTCCTCCCTGTCCAATCCCCACTCCATTCCCCAGGGAGGGTGAGGCTCTTCATGGGGATCTCCAGAGTCTGTCATTTCATTCAGGGCAGGGCCTAGGCCCTCCCTCAAGTGTCCAGGCTGAGGGAGCATCCCTCATTGTGGGATGGGTATGCAAAGTCCATTTGTGTGCCAGGAATAAATGCTGATCTACTACCCAAAGCTCCCTAAGTTGCCCAGGCCTCCTCACTGACACCCACTTTCCGGGGGTCTGGATCAGTCCCATTCTGGCCTCTCAGCCATCAGTCTGGGGTCCAAGATCTCCCCTTTGTTCAGGTCAGCTGTTTCTCTGGGTTTCATCAGTCCAGTCTTGACCCCTTTGCTCATCACTCCTTCCTCTCTGTCACTGGGTTCCTGTAGTTCAGCTCAGTGTTTAGTTATGGGTGTCTGACTTTGCTTCCATCTGTCACTGGATGGAGGTTCTAGGATGGCACATAAGGTAGTATCAAACTCATTATCAGAGAGGGGCATTTAAGGTAGTTTCTTCACTATTGCTTAGTTTGCCAGTTGGTGTCATCCTTGTAGATCTCTGGAAATCTCACTAGTGCCAGATCTCCCCTCAAACCTAAAATGACTCCCTCTATTATGGTATCTCTCTTCCTGCTCTCCTCTATTCTTCCCCCAACTCAACCTTCCTGCTCCCCCATGTCCTCCTCTCCCTTCCTCTTCTCCCCCTCTCTTTTCCTGGCTCCCTCTCCTCTCCTCCCCATGCTCCCAATCTGCTCAGGAGATCCTCTGGCTCACCTTTTATTCACTGGACAACAGCAAGAAGAACATTATACTTGATGCTTTGGCTTTAGTAAAATGGTGAGATCAACCACATAGCTGGTGCTTGCATGACATTGAAACAGACGCTGCACTGTGGACCAGTCAGGTAAGGTCTGCATCGGCTCCTGCCTTGAGTTCCCGCCCTGACTTCCTTTGGTGATAGACTGTGATGTGGAAGTATACACAAGTAAACCCTTTTCTCCCCAACTTGCTTTTGGTCATGGTGTTTTATCACAGCATTAGAAACCCTCACTAAGACCCAGCCATGGAAGAGCAGGGGGAGCACGGTCCAGGAAGCCAAAGGCCCTGAGGCAGCAGAGAGCTTGGCACAGCCACCAACAGCACTCATCTGAGGTTGTTGCAGAGAGTGGGGAGGGGAGGACATAAGACACACGGGGAGACAATATCAGAGGCTGCTTCCTGGAAGAGCACACAGGCTTTCAGCAGGAATTTCCATGTGTTCTAAGAACTAAGGAAGCCACTGGAGTCTTGTTTATGGAGGAAGGCAGTACCTGGTTTAATTTCTAAAAGATTTTTCAAATAAGAGTCTCCTTTACATCTTTTAGCCACAGAGAGAAAAAATTGCTGATGAAACACGTGGTAGTAGGTAAGAGTGAGCAGGCAGCCCCTTCTCTGAGGGGTCTGTAAGCAGTTTCCAGGTCATTAGAGAAGTCTGGCAAAGATGCAGGATGCCCTCTGATCTAGCAGCCCCACTCCAGAGTTTACCTTGCAGATGGGCCAGTACAGATGTGGAGAGAGCCCTGTTCTACTATTTCCTGCTCACAGACACACACTACTTCCTGTATGTAATGGCAATAGCTGGAAACAACCTTGACCCATACCCTAGAGAACCAGGGCCACATGATGAGTGGTCCAGCATCCAGCAGAGGAGCAGAGGCCATCTGCGATGGCAGTAATCATATTAAGTGCTGACTGGAGAAGAGAGGGGTCAGTTGAAGGCAGGTGCCTGGAGGACAGCTGGACAAATGTGACAGTCACACGTGTTCTTGAACACAGCATGCCTGGAGGGTTAGTTAGAAGAAGCTCAGGTGGGGGGAAAAGGAAGTAAAGGGGGGGGCGCTTCTGTGCTCTGAGTTAGGATTACTTGTGTTTTTAATGCAATCAGCAGGTACCGAAATAAGCCCAACAAATAAATAAGTTACAAAACAGTGTTTAGTTAGATATCTTAATAAATAGGAAAAACTCAAGCCAAAGAAGCCAGTGCCTAAAATGTGTCAGTCAGGCTTCTCCAGGTCAAGTCACAAAGAGGAATGTTGCTTGGTTAGAGGATGCCAGGTCCCTAAGGTCTCTAGAGCTGGGGACACCTGGCCTAGATGTCTCAGATATCTTGCAGATTGTTTTCCATGGATAACCTGTTTTTCTTTCTTTGGAGATAGGCTATAAGTGCATCTAGAGTATTGACAAAGAGCTTGGTACCCAGCACCCCACTGGAGAGAGCAATGAGGCTTCATTCACCCTGCCCAGGTGCTGCAGGGCAGCATGGCAGAACACTGAAGTCTTTGGTTGAGTGGGGCATTCTCTGTAACCTCTCCATCTTCTTTTGTCCAGGCCTGGGGAAGACCTCAGATCCATTAAAGTTTCCAATGTCCAAAGATGATGATTCACACTGAGATCCCAGGTGCAGAGTGTACTAAGGAAGAAACTGATGCTAAATATTCAACACCAAGGTTTGGGGCTGGAAATGTTCTGTCAGTGGTACAGGATGGACTTTGTGTACACAAGTCCCTGGATTACATCCCTAGCAGTGCTAAAACACAAATGGGTTTTTAAAAAGAAAGAAGACAGAATGAAAAGAAAGAAAACAAAGGGGCTATTTTGGGTTAACCCAGAACCTGAAAACTCCTGAGTGACTATAACTTTCTGTGTACCTACTACGTGCCAGGTCCTGCATTGGGCATATAGTACTGTAACTGATTCAGTCTTCACAACAAAACCTGCTGTCTACGAGTAATCACATTTTATAGATGTTTGAATGAACACACGAAATTCTAAGTCACTAGTTCAATGTCAGACAGCTGGTAGATGGCAGCTAACACTGGCTGACTCTGTAACACAAATTGATAGATAATCCAGAGACTGATATTAGGGTTCAGACTTCAAGTTGAAGATCAGAGAAGCAAAGCAGATGGCCACTAGCTTCTTATCTTACCTCAGGTTGAATGGACTGATCCTGTCTCCATGAACTCTCACCAAGTCTCAGATTGTAACCTCTCCTCAGCGTGACTGGAGACTGAATACCTCCTACAGAATACTTGTTCCTGTGTTTTATATCCCTCTAGTACTGGGATTAAAGATGTGAGCTATGAGCTGGGCGGTGGTGGTGCACGCCTTTAATCCCAGCACTTGGGAGGCAGAGGCAGGCGGATCTCTGTGAGTTTGAGGCCGGGCTGGACCGATAGCCTCCGAAACAATACAGAGAAACCCTGTCTCGTAAAAACAAACAAAAAAAAGATGTGAGCTATGGTTCTCTTTTAGACTGATTCACTCTTGTGTAGATCTGGGTGGCCTTGGACTAACAGAGATTCATCTACCTTTTAATCCTGAGTCCTAGGATTAAAGGTATGTACCAGCACTGCCTGATCTCTATATCATGAGGCTGGCTTTACTTTTCTGAATCCACAGTCAAGCTTTAATAAATCATAAATAATACATCACTATATAACTCTGCTAGCCACACCTTCTAGGCCTTACTTGGCCACCCAGCTGGGCAGTGCTAGGGCTCCCTATCTCACAGAGCAGAGAGGGGACTGGATAACTGGGGCTTGAATTTGAGAAGGGTTCTGGTGAGCTTCAATGCTTTGACCCATTGACTATACGACCTCTGGGGTTTGGCTCTACCCGGTAGACCTCAATACTAAAGACAAGCTGGGCATTGGTGGCGCACACCTTTAATCTCAGCACTCAGGAGGCAGAGGCAGGTGGATCTCTGTGAGTTCGAGGCCAACCTGGTCTACAGAGTGAGTTCCAGGACAGCCTACAAAACAATACAGAGAAACCCTGTCTCGAAAAATCAAAAACCAACCAACCAAACAAACAAACAAAAAAACTAATGACAAACCAATGCTTGATTTACTCTGCTGTTTGCTTAAGCTGCCCAGCTGGCTATGCTCACATGTGACATGGTCTGAGGGCAGGTATAGACCCCACGATAGCCTAGCAGACTGATGAGACACTGACAGTGGAGAAGAGACTTCTCCCTCCCTCTGCCCTGTCATATACAAACAAGGAAGCCATAAGGATAACCAGCTAGAATAAAATGGAGGATGGCCGGGCCTCCGAGTACTAGTGATAAGCCCCTCCTCTGCTATGCCGCTAACCACACACCAAGTGTCCCTGTTTGTGGCAGATCCTTAGCTTACTTCTGACTTCAGCTGGCACAGACTTTTCCTGACAGCACTCCACCTTGTTGTCTTCTGTGTCAGAGGCCCACCCACAGGCTGGGAAGGAGTTAATCTCCATGGAGTGACCCTAGCTGCTTGGGGACAAAATTGAAGACCAGTCCTCAGGCGGGCTCCCTTTTAGAAGGCATTCTAGATAGTCCTGTAGCCCGGTAGAATCAGGTCCTCATCACCATAACAACAATATCAGCAACACCCAACTCTGACTTTCCCTGTTCCTACCAGCCCACTCTAGCTTCTAGAAGTCACCTCCCAGGCAAACCACCTGCACCCAAGTCCCTGCCTGAACTTTGTTTCTAGCTAGCTGGAGACCAGCTTTTCTTCCTTTTGGGCACTACTCTTTTAGGTTATACTATGCTCAATTATCTGTTCACATGATCCTCTCAAATCTACGCTGACAGTGGCGGGTTTCCTTCTTGTAAATAGCCCTGCCCTTGACATGCCTCCATGCTGACGCTTCTCTAGAGGCTGCTGTCTGTGATTAGATCTTTGCTCCCAGGTTGCCTGGGCACCCTTGGCCACATGCAGGCTTTCCCAGGCACCTCCCTAGTTGCTGCTCACTCGTCTTTTCCTCCTTTGGCTAGATGGAAGGCTCTCATCTTTTTTTTTTCTTTTGACAGAATCTCTCACTATGTAGTCCTGGTTGCCATGGACACTATGTAGACCAGACTAGTCTCTCCAACGCACAGAGATCTGCTTGCCTCTGACCCAGAGTGCTAGGATTTAGGGCATGCACCACCACACCCTGGTTCTCATATCTTTTAAGGAACTGGAATCAGGTTGACTCTCATCCCTGATCTTCTCTTGGCAAAGATATCAGTCACAACAGGCCTCTGTGTGCTAACCTGCCCCAAAGCTGAGTGCACACCTATAATCCAGCCCTTGGGTGGCTGAGGCTGGATGGCTATGACTTTAAGGCTGACAGTGGGGTACACAGACAAGGGGGGGGGAGAGAGGGAGGGAGAAAAAAGAACCTCTTCCACACCAAGTACTTCTGTTTGTCACCTCACCGAGAGCTTAGGCTGGTGGGTTACTGTCATCTCTATTTGGCAGGTGAGAAAACAGACATAGAAAGCTTGCACTACCCTCTGGCTTAGATCTTCATGCCTGACGTGCAAAGTGAAGACTATGCTGCCTCTACAGTTTGGCTTTGATGAAGAGCCAAGGCACCACGTTAAGTGTGGGCAATAACTTGGTGCCTTGGCCCACTCTTTCTGTTCATGTGAGCCATTTTGGTGCATGGTTGGGACTGAAGCCAGGCCAACTGACTGATATGTGTGGAAATGGAGTCTTGAAAGGGATTAGACAGTCTTGCGATGATGGCTAAGCTGGAGAAGCAATGAGGTCGCCTTTGACATAGCACTCAGCAGTTGTTACCAGAGTCTCAGCTGTATCTGCCTACTGGGAGCCCACTGTGATGTGTAGTAGGGGCAGCCTACCTCCCAACAATGTCTGCTGTCATATAGACACATTTAGTACCTAGATTGCTCTCCTACCATCCACAGGGGTTACTTCACTGTTGAGACACTAACTTCCTGTCATTTCTGTCTAGATGACGTAGGTATGACTGGTTTTCCCCCAAAGACCAAATGTTGCCATCTTTGTCTTCCTAAGCTTAGAACAAATGCCCCACATCTAGTAGGTCTTTCAGTTCAACAAGGGTTTGTCACATGAGCATTAGACTCGGCAGGAATAGGACCACAACTGAGGCCATATATCCTGGTTTCCAGAGAAGCTTTTGTCAAATTAAGCATGGTATTACCATGTTTTCAAATCCCTTGTGGAATAATTTGAATGTTTGGTTTTTCTAGGGAAAAGGCACACTGTGTGTCTACCACCACAGATGTTTGTTCTGGCACAGTCCAAGGCCCTGTGGTATTTGTGGCATGGGTCCCCAGTCCTGGTACTCACATTCATTATGTTGCTAATCTGGTTGTTGCCTAGTGACAGCACCTGCAGCTTCACCAGGGCATCGAGAGAGTCCATCTTGGAGATCCGGTTGTTGGACAAGCTCAGGTCTTCCAGATTGACCAGGGTATCCAGCCCCTCAATGGTCTCGATGTTATTGAAGGACAAATCTGAAAAGGAGGAGGACTCTGAGGGGTCTAAGGATATGCTGCTTGGGTTAGACGAGGGATGGTCCTGAAACAAAACCATCAGGCTGCTTAGAGCTCTTGGGAGTGACATGGAGCTGAGGAGCTGACCCACTGTTCAGGGATTCCGGGAGTACCAGACAGACTGCTTCCTGCAGCTTTCGGACTGTCATCTACCACTTCTGTCAGCTCCCCTCTGACACCTCCAGGTGGTGGTTTGGAATCTTTCTCTTTGACCAGTCAGGAAGTAGAAGCTTTGGGTCAGGAGGGTGGTGTGACGAGTGTTCAAATCTCCCTCTGGGTGAATAGGCAAGCAGGTGCCCTTGTAGGATCCATGGCTTTGCTCTGAGACAGGTTGGCCTGCTGGCTTCTGGGTAGTGGGTATTGCTCAGAACCAGGACTGGTGTGGACACCTATCCCACTGTTGAGGTACTGATTTCACCTCCTATAGAGACAGGTGATTCCTAGCCATGCAGATGGGTCCCAGAGACCAGGAACTGGAGCTAAAGAGTAGTAGGGTATAGCAAAGGTGCCTAACAGATGTGGGTCCCACAGCCAGAAGACTCAGCTCTGTCTGCTTCTGCCACCTGGAGCACACAACTCTCTCTGGCTAGTCAGCCTCTTGGAACCTGAGGGGCTGTATCTGAGAAGCGGGCCCTTAAGCCCATTAGTGGGGTTACTGCAGCTTCCAATGTCAGCACAAACACAGCTGAGAGTTCTTTGCAGGCTGAGAGCTACATTTGTGGTCCCTGGAAGCCTGGCAAGATGGAGGAACCTGTGCCTTGGGATGGGGCAGCAGTAGAGTTAGCCTAGCTCTGCAGTTGCTTGGCCATGCTTTATCTCCCTTTCCATTGAATTGAATAATAACAGCCATTAAGCATCTCCTGGGACTATTGTGGGGACTAAGTAACACATTTCTTGTCCTCTTTTATCCTTTAGATGTTCCCCTGCCCCTCACTAGATGGGGAGGCACCTAAGAGGCCAAGCTCCCAGTGACCTTGGCAGTGAAGCTGAAAGTTCTAGAATCAGACAGAGAATGACAAGGGAGCCTGTGACCCTCATTTGACTTGTTGTCACCTTGGTTTATTCATTGTATGATGGGGATGGTGTGTGGAAAAGGAAACTCATAGGGAGCACGAGTAGGCCACCATCAGCACACAGCTATGCCCTGTGCTCATTATAACGGCCAGCTGTCCACCTGTGTCTATGTAAAATGCCAATCCAGGGCTGCCCCTGTGCCCACCAACCCGAGAGGCTGGCAGGTGGGATGGAATATTCTGCCTAGTATGCAGCAGCACGTCTTTGTCATGATTTGCCCAGCGTAAGCCTCAGGCTTTTAACAGACTGTCACTTTCTTGCTCCTAACAGACAGAGCATTTCTGCTGTGCCTGGGCTAACAACAGGATGGCAGCCCAGTGTCACTGCGATTATTCTGCAGGGAGGCGAGGGATGTCCTTGGCAGTGGTTCACCTTTAACAAAGGCAGATGCAGAGCCAAGCCTTACCCAGCCAGACCAGATGTATGAGGTTTTCCAGGCCCTCAATTCTCTCGATGATGTTGTTGTTCAGCTGCAGCTTCTGCAGGTTCTCAAACTGCCAGAGGTTATCTATGCGGAGGATGTCTGAAACAACACAGTGTCCGGATTTGACGAAGGCTGGGGCTGCGAGCCAAGGCCCTGACAGACTGAAATGTACTCATAGAGGGCTCTACAGCTCTCTGCCTTCCTTAGAGTTCCCCAGGGCGGAGGACATGAGTGTAGGACCAGGACTGTTACACAGGACCACTGGAAAGGATCAAAGGGTCTGATGTGACAAGGATAAGGGTGTGTGTGTGTGTGTGTGTGTGTGTGTGTGTGTGTGTGTGTGTGTTAGGCAGGTGTCTGTGTGGAGGTGAGCAGGGCAAGAGACTCACTCACATTGCCTCAGGGACTGGGCTCGGGCTGCCAAGGAAATAGGTTTACCTTGGAACACAGGTTGTAAGCAGGGGTGGGCATGATGGGAGGGTCACTCAACTGGTTTTACTTTTGGAAGGTCTTTCTGTAACATTTATTGTGATATTTACTATCTGTGCCTTTTGACCTGCAATTCCCTTCTTTCCTTCCTTCCTTCCTTCCTTCCTTCCTTCCTTCCTTCCTTCCTTCCTTCCTTCCTTCCTTTTTCTTTTTTCTTGTGTGAGTCAGGGTCTCACTATGTAATGTAACCCTGACTGTCCTGGAACTACTGTGTAGACTAGACTGGCTTCACCCTTCACAGAGATCTGCCTCTGCCTTCCAAGTGCTGGGATTAAAGACATGCATCATCATGCTAGCTAGACATGCAAATTTAAAAAAATCTGTCTCCAAACACATCATAGAAATATCTATAGGTATGTGAGAGCAGAAAACAGCAGCTTTTGGGATGATCACTCACATGACAGAAAGGCAGAGCCCAGACGCTTGGCAGCAGAGACCCTGCAATTGTGAGGACTCACCCTGGTCAGGATACTTTGTGTATATAGCCTAGAGACAGAACACTGGCTCTCTCTCTCTCTCTCTCTCTCTCTCTCTCTCTCTCTCTCTCTCTCTCTCTCTCTCTCTCTCTCTCTCTCTCTGTGTGTGTGTGTGTGTGTGTGTGTGTGTGTGTGTGTTTGTCTGTGATTAGAATGGCTGGATCTCTGTGAGACCTGATCTACACAAATAGTTCCAGCCAGGGTTACAAATGAGACCCTGTCTCAAAATAAGAAAAAAAAAAGGAAATAAGGAAAGGATGGATCAGTGGGTAAAGTGCTTGCTGTGGGGTCTACAACCTGAGTTCAGTCCCAGAAGCCACAGTGGACAGAGAAGGTCTAAGAATCCAGTAATTGTGCCGGGCGGTGGTGGCACATGCCTTTAGTCTCAGCACTCGGAAGGCAGAGGCAGGCAGATCTCTGTGAGTTCGAAGCCAGCCTGGTCTACAAGGTTACACAGAGAAACCCTGTCTCGAAAACCAAAACCAAAACCAAAAAAAAAAAAAAAAAAGGAATCCAATAGTCATTCAGTACACCAGGCTGGATGTCTCAGCTGCCTTCAGTATTTGCTGGGATCCTGAAGAAGTAGGCTCTAATGCCAGGGAAGGAATGGACTTGCCAGTGAGGGCAAATATATATATAGAGAGAGCTTCCTTCTCCTAAGTCCTTTATTTAGGCTTCCAGCAGAAGGAGTGGCCCAGACTAAAGGTGGATCCTCCCACCTCCAAGATCAGGATTAGATTCTACTGGGTACTAGCACACACCTTTTTTTTTTTTTTTTTTTTTTTTTTTAACGAGACAGGGTTTCTCTGTATTGTTTTGGAGGCTGTCAGTCCAGCCCGGCCTCGAACTCACAGAGATCCGTCTGCCTCTGCCTCCCGAGTGCTGGGATTAAAACTGTGTGCCACCACCGCCCAGCCTAGCACACGCCTTTAATCCCAGAACTCAGGAGGCAGAGGTAGGTGAATCTCTGTGAGTTCAAGGCCTGCCTTGTTCCAGGACAGCCAGGGCTACAGAGAAACCCTGTCTTGAAAAACAAAAATCACAAACAGAAAAAAGTTTGTCTTCCCACTTTAAATGACTTAATTAATGAAAAAATCCCTCACAGGTGTGCTCAACCATTTAGGTTTTAGTTAATTCCAGAGGTTGTCAAGTTGACAACCAAGAATAGCCCTCATACCTCCCTTATTCCAAAACCTTAATCTTAGACTATACGCATTTAAAGAAATGAAATAATGTAGAAGTGAAAGGGTTTGTTAATGACCACTAAGGGCCTGGCATAGGGGTGCACACCTGTATCAGGAGGACTGCAAGTCTAGCCTGGGACATGTAGTGAGATCGAGCTGAGACTAGTTATAGGCTTATACACCCAACTATTCAGGAGGCTAGCAAATTCAGTGACAGCCCGCTCAGTGACAGCCTGTTTCAAAATGAGAGAGAGAGAGAGAGAGAGAGAGAGAGAGAGAGAGAGAGAGAGAGAGAGAGAGAGAGAGAGAGAGAGCGAGCGAGCTTGGGGCAAATGTGGTGGGGGCAGATGACTCGGTGGTTAAGAGCATCTGTTTGCTCTTGCAGAGGACCCAGGTTTGGTTCCCAGCCCCACATGTGGTTGATAACCATCCGTAACACTACTTTCAGGGGACCCAATACCATCTTCTGCAGGCACCAGACAAAGATGGTACAGACATGGAGATAGCTCAGTGGTAGAATACCTGGGTAGCATGCCCAAGACTCCAGCTTCAATCCCCAAAGCCAAATTCTGACAGCTCACACTTATCCAAGAGAAGGGGCCTGCTGGTGAGGTTCTGAGATCAGTGTGTAGGTGCTCTGACCCCCTTCACAGGTCTTGGGGATGCAGGATCCTCTGATCTATCCATTGCTTTCCCCTTGGGGCTGGAGTGCTCCATGTCCTCAGGGCCAGGTGGCACAAGAGTCTGTTGTTTAGGTCTGTGTTTGCTGCCAGATTTCCCAAACTGACTTCGTCTCTGCCTCTATGTGTTTCTGGAGGTGGTGCACAGTTCACCCTGAGGCTCCCAGCCACCTCCTATTTCTGGTCTGGATTTTCCTGGCGCTTACTGTGGCCCTGCTGTCTCAAAGGCCAAAACCCAGCCCAGATTCATCCTTTGCTATGGTGGTTTCCAGCTGGGCCACTTTGGGCAGGTGGCTTTGGCATACCTGCACATGGCTTTCCCTTAGGCAACACCAGGTGGTGTGGAAAGGCCAAAAGCTCCCAGCAAACAAGGATATATCTGATAGCTACAAATGAACTGCCCATCTGAAAGCTGTTTTAATCTTTCAAACAGTTCAAACAGCCACCATAACCACTTCTGTGACCACCACCTTGGCAAGGCCATCATCATTATTCCCTGAGTCACAGTAGTAGCCATCCCACTAGATTCCTGTCCGGTGTCATCCCCGCTGCCCCCAATGTAGCCAGCAGGGTTCTGTGAGAACTCAAGTCCCACCCTATCCTGTTTCTACCCAGGATACTTGGGAAACCCAACTCACTGTAAAAGCCAAACACATTTCATTGTCCAAGGCAAGCGCCAGCTGATGATACGACCTCCCTGGCCTGTCTGCACACTGGCTTCCTCAGCAGGCTTTCTCAGGCTGGCTCTGGCCTACCTCTTGGCCTTGCACCGGTTAGTCACTGAATCTCACATACTTCCCCTGCCCCCCATACGTAGATCTCCATATGGTTCCCTTCCTCATGTCCTTTAAGTATTTATTCAGCTCTCACCTTGGCAAGGCCCTGGCCACTGTAGAAAACACTGCACCCAACTCCGATTTCCGTTTTCTTCCCTCTTTGCTCTATTTCCCCCATGGCACATACTGCCTGCAACACTCTGATTTCCTTGTCTTATTTGTCTCCCTCACACCAACTAGGTAAAGGTAAGGTTCCTTGTCTTTCGGGCTGTGCTGAATCCGAACGCTGGTTACAGCATCTGGTTCCTCTTAGGCACTTGCTCAGGCCTGGTGGAATGCCGTTAGGTGGGGAGGTGGGAAGCAGTGGCTGCTATTCCCCCACTCCCCCTCTCAGGGAAAGTAAGAGCTCTGGGTCAGCCCTGGAGGCCACACCCAGGGAGGCCTGTGAACTTATACAAGGCCAGGTCTGCTTGCTCGTGGCTGTCTCCAGTGTTGGGAGTGGGACCCTGCATCTTCGCTGTTGACCAAATGATAGCTGGGGCCTAAGGTGTCAGGTCACTTTACTCAAAAACCAGAGGGCTCAGGATCCTCGTCCACCTCCTTCTTTCTCCTACTCCTCTTTTTGCCAGTATTGAAATTAAGAGTCTTGTGCCCCAGGCATCAGCCTGGGAATCCAGCATGGGACTGATCAAGACCCCTCTGAATGTGAGTGTCAGTGAGGAGGCCTAGGTAATCTATTGAGCCTTGGGCAGCAGATCAGTACCCATCCCGAGTATACACACGGACTTTGGACTCCCATAGAACAATGTGAGGTGCACTCTCCCCCCTGAACTCTTGGGGGAGGGTCTAGGCCCTGCCCTATATGAAATGACAGACTATGGACACCCCCATGGAGGGCCTCACCCTCCCTGGGGAAATGAGGGGATAATGGGGGGGTTGGGGGGAGGGCACGGGAGGAGGGGAGGGAAAGGGAGAGGGCCCTGGAACTGACTTGTGAAGCAACCTTGTTTCTTATCTAAATTTAAACTGAAAAATAAATAAATTAAAAAAAAAAGAGTCTCGTGCATCATAAGCTCTCTACCACTGAGTCACTTAGATTTGGAGCAGGGCAATTCTATCTTTTTTTTCCTGTTCTTATTCAGAATCAGAAGTATTGTGGACAAATTATGGAGCTACTGGATAAAGTTGATGCAGCAAGCCCCCCCCCATTCCTGTGCCTGGTGGGCTCTAACCCCTATGCACTGACCTCTGACTCTGTGAAATTTGGGGGTTTTAAATAGGGCAGAGAAAGTCAGGGAGGCCCGACTGCACCCAGGTCACACCCCCCGGCACCCAGGATACGTACTTTGGAAGTCCAGCTGCAGGGACAGAACATCTTTGAAGAGGATGCCCTCCTGCTTGGCTAGCTGCCCAGCCTCCTCCTGGGGGCCTTGCTCCCCAACAGCTACCTTGAGCATGTCATCGTCTATCACCTTCGGGTCGATCGATTCATATGAGCGGCTCATCTTCCCTGAGAAATTGGGTTCCTCCTTCACAGATTGTTCCTTTGGTGTGAAAGCACAATTGGACTGTCAGTCATGGTGTCATAGCCTGCCAGGAGGCCACAGGCTGCCCACTCCCACCCCTTGCCTGATGTGCCTTGGAGCAAATGCATTGCTGGAAGGTGGCCTTAAGCCTTCCCAGTAGTTGTCTGAGCCCTCAGCAGGGGTTAACTGCTTGACTTCACAACCACGGTGGGGTCTCTACCTGGGCCCACAGGGCTGGTGCTCACATGGGTCTCCTTAGCCTGTGGTTCTCAGGTTTCCTGTGGCTAGTCTCTGACCTTCTGTTTCTGTCTTTACCTAGGTCTCTTGGCACAAGCCACTGACAATGATCCTTGGAAGTGCCAGCCTGCAGTGGCCCTTCTGGGAGTACCACATCCCCTGGTAGACAGTCATGTATGGAGGAGCCACTGACCCAAGTTGGCCATTCGTGTTCTCCCTTGAGAAATGGGAACCTTGGAGTCTCAGAACCAGAGTGACCATATGAGCTGGTTGCTTATCTAGGGAGGACATGTGTAGCTAGAGCTTGCCAGGCACGAGGATTGGTTGAGAGCAGGAGGGGGATAAAGTGCAGACACACACGGCAGGTGTTTACTTGCTGGCTGCCCTAAGTCCAGGCCTTGTATAAGTTAGTGTCCCTTTCTGTAATTTTGGATTTCTCACATTAATTTCTCTGCTAGTTAAGCTGAATCAGGTTCAGTTGCTAATGGCCCAAAGGGGTCTGTGGAGGTACTGTGGTGAAGGCAGAGACTGTGTGTTGGGTTAATTGTATTTGACTGCTATGCCCGGCTGGGTAGAATCACAGTCCTGGAGGGCTAGCCGCTCAGACCTTATTGTGATCATTTCCAACCCCAGAAAGGCGGGGCCACTGGGATTCTGCCTTCTGGACACTCTGGGAGTCAGTCTCTACTCCTCAGCTCCCACTTGCATCTCGCCTCCCTTCTTACTGGCTAGCTTTCATCACAGGTTTCCCTGAACCTCTGGTCCGCCCCAACTTGATTCCAGGTGTTGCTTCCCTCTGCCTTCTATTCTACAGGGCCAGGGGAACTCCTGAGGCTGCTCCACCAGGAACCCTGGCAATCTGTCTTCCTTCTGAGATTGCCTCCCTCTTTGCTCTGTTACAATCCATTTGGATGCAACATATGTAAGTATATTCATGTTCTATTCTTTCACTATCCCTGCTCAAGGATTCCGACATCAATAATTCTTGTGTGCCCTGCCCTTCCACTCCCCAAACCCGTTTTGTGTAGTCATTTCCTCTGAGTTAAAACATTCCTTCCTGGAGGGAGACTGACTCATAAGACTCAGGAAGCTCACAAAGTTACAATACTAGGAGGTACTTAAGAGTTTCTGTCAGGCCATGAACATGAACATGCCTTAGGCAGGAGGATCTCTGTAAGTTTGAGGCCAGCCTAGTCTACATAGTGAGTTCCAGGAAAGCCAAGGCTATGTAGAAAGACTCGGTCTCAAAACAAAACAAAACAGCACCCAAAACAAACAACAACAACAGAGTTTATATAAGGAGTAAAAAATTTCTGAGGAAGAAAAGACAGTCTTTGATAGAGGGCCTTGTAAGTTAGGCTTAATGCTCTAGGGCATAACTGTCATGATTTTTGTCATCCATCCCGGGATTGGCATTTTTTTTTTCCGAGACAGGGTTTCTCTGTATTGTTTTGGAGCCTGTCCTGGAACTTTCTCAGTAGACCAGGCTGGCCTCAAACTCACAGAGATCTGCCTGCCTCTGCCTCCTGAGTGCTGGGATTAAAGGCGTGCGCCGCCGCCGCCACCACCACCTGGCTGGAATTGTCTTTTTAGCGATGCAGCTGATTTTGAGTCACTCCTCTGTAAGTGACTGCAATGAGCTCACTGGCTCACTAAGCTATACCTGGATGGGATGGTTTCTTTGATCTCCCATGGTCCCTGCTTTTCCTCCATCTGTGGCCCCCATCCTTCAAAACCTCAGCCTTGTCTTCCTGCTCTCTCCAGCTGACTCTTCCTCCTCAGGGTGACTGGCTGACTCAACCTCCCAGGACAATTCTTGTGCTCATCAACTAGCTCCCTATTCTTCCTAAACAACTTTTCTTAAAGTTTCTTATAATTCACCACCAACCTCAAAATTTATTTACTTCTGGGGAAATTTTAATGTGTTTCATTTGTCAGATGTTATCTGAAAAGTATTTGGAGCTTTTTGAAAAAAACAAAACAAGGTATTGTACTTTGGGAAATGACTCAATTCTGGTGTCAAAACTTTGACCCCCATTTCCTCAAAATCCACTAACTGTGACAGGGCAAGCTAGCTTTCAGTCAAGCTCAGCAGGTTCTATGAAGTGTAGGATTGGTTGTGATTGATGCTAAATGTTCACACCCAGGGCAGGACTTTGGTTCTGATTGTGTATCTTTTGAAAAATAACTTCACCATTTCAAATCTTTGTCTTTTCCCAGTCAGGTGGATGATTCCTTCCTCCTCCATTTTTGTAAGATCTTGGTTTTGGTCTACACATCCATACTGAATAACTACTACAAGCTATGAATAACTCAGACAGATCTTATGTTTCAGACATGAACTAAATAATCATGCCAATAATCACTTATAATGACAAGTTAGTAGGTGTGGGGAACTATGAAAGCACTTAGTAGGGACGGTTGGCCTGGCCAGGGAAGACACAATTTGAAGGATAAAAAAGAAAGCAGGAAGAAGGAACTGTGTGGCGAAGACCCCAAGCAAAAAAGCAGAAGTGATGTAGGGCCTGCCTTGCACATATATCCCATGATGGCTAGGAAGCTCCCAGGGCTTCTAAGGAAGAGATGGATCAGATTTTATTTTTAAAAAGCTCATTATTAATAAATGTTCTGCATTTCCCCCCACACAAATAAGTTTCTCTGCCAATGCAATAATCCAGATTAAGCTGGATTGAAAAAGAATAACAACAGGTATATTGAGCAAAGCAACTCCTCCTGGGCAGGTTCTCTGGTCCCAGAGATGGAAGTCAGAGAAGTTGTACACCCAAGCCAGGGCAGGAAAGTTTTATAGACTGTAGGTGAGGGGTGATGATGCTTCCACCAGAAGCTGGGGTTGTGCCCAAGTATGGTCAAAGGCTGAACTTTTAGGTGAAGATTTGGGCAGCTGGCAACTTCAGGGAAGGAAGCAGTAGTAGACACCAAGAATGTGGGAACTGGACTTTTGGGCATCTTTCCTTTGTTCAAAGACCAAGTGTGCAGGGTTTGGGGAAAGAGAGAAGGAGAAGGAGGGAAGGATGGAGGGAGGGAAGGAAGGAGGAGAGGGGAGGGGAGAGGGAGGGAATGGGGTTTCCAGGAGGCAGGGGCCAGTCAGAGGTGCAACTGAACAATTATAACTGCTGTGCCAAGAATTACAAAAGGAATGAGTCTAACGAGAAGTGGTGGCGTACGCCTTTAATCCTGGGCCTTGGGAGGCAGGTGCAGACAGTTCTCTATGCGTTTGAGCCCAGCCTGGTCTGCAGAGTGTATTCCAGGCCAGATAGAGCTACACAGAGAGAGACCCTGTCTCAAAAAAAAGAAAAGAAAAAGCAAGCAAACAAACAAAAAAGAAAGGGAGGAAGGAAGGAAGGGAGGAAGGAGTATATGGGGGTCTGGGACATCTCTAGGAGCTTAGTTTATATGTAGGACTAATCATTCTTAGTCTAAGACAATCTAGTTTGGAAGGTTATGCCTAAGCTAAGTGATTGATTGGTCCAATAAAAGCGTTAGAAAGTAGGGTGGGGGGAGTTTAATAGAAAAAGAAGCTGAAATAAAATTCTCTTCAGAAGAACTTTGCTAGGAGAGTTGAAGGATCATGGCCACAGACATTCATGAGGAGTCCTGAAGTGGGAGAGCACTGGAGGAGATAACATCATGGTCTAGGCAGCCATGAGGAGCCCTGAAGGAGAATACAAACCTTTTAATTCCATTGGCTCCCTCACAGTCAGAGAATAACGGAAGTTTCTGACTCATACATTTTTGGGGTAGTGGTGGTGGCGGGTTTTTTTTTTTAGTTCCATACCATGTGACCTGGCCTGACCTAGTCTATGTGACCCATGCGCAGTGGAAGGCATAGACAAGAGAGTAAAGTTGCAAATCAAGTTTGTCTCAGCCTAGGTATCAGGAGTTGGGCTTGCTCACAGCTGCAAGTGGGGAGATAGAGAACACTGTGAGAGCTACAAGATCACAATCCCTCTATAACCCACCTTGAGAAAGGATGCTGAAGGGTGTGGCTTGATTTCTGAGCTATGAATAACTCAGAGAAGTCTTCTGTTTCTGACTTGAATTAAAAAATCTTCCCAATATTTACTTACAAACAACGACACGTTAGTGGATGTTTGGAACTATGAACACACATAGTTGTAGAATATTATCTTAGGGTGTGTTACTTTTGTTTATGTTGCATTTGTTTAACTCTGTGAAGCTGTGATTCTTTGCTTGTCCAAACCTGATGGTCTAAACCTGGTGGTCTAATAAAGAGCTGAATGTCCAATATCGAGGCAAGAGAAAGGATAGGAGGGGCTGGCAGGCAGAGAGAGTAAGTAGGAGGAAAAATCTGAGAAGAAGGAGAAGGAGCACGATAGAACAAGGAGAGGAGGATGTCGGGGCCAGCCACTCAGTCATCCAGCCACCCAACCAGTCATGGAGTAAGAGTGAATATAAGATATACAGAAGCAAGAAAAGAAAAAGGCCCAGAGGCCGGATAATTTAAGAAAAGCTGGCAAGAAACAAGCCAAGCTAAGGCCGGCTATTTATAAGTAAAAATAAGCCTCTGTGTGTGTGTGATTTATTTGGGAGCTGGGAGGCACCCCCCAAAAGATCAAAGAGTAAAACATCATCAGCAACACATAGTAGAGATCTTTGTAACATAAGCCTTTTCTAGATTGACCAATATGTAGATTTATCAAAAGGCATGACCTCTTGTCTATAGCAGAACCCATTTTTCCTAATCATGACTCTATTGTAACAGCATACTAGGAACAACCATTATCACAGCTCATGTTCCCAACAGTTCTTCTCAGGATAAGGCCCAAAAAATCCTCCCCTGTGGGGATTATGTCAATAATTTATCCAGTGGGGGCTGATTGACTTGCCTGATGATGGTGTCCTTGGTGAAGACCAGAGGTAGGATGTGGAGAAGAAGTGGAAAGCTTTACTTACAAATCAGGTAGCTTCTTCACTGGGAAAAAGTTCAGGCATTCCTGAGAAACAATAACCTGGGTCAACTGAGCCTGAAACACTATATCTGTCATAAAGTAATGAGAATAAAAGCAACTGCTGACTGTTTATCTCACTCCCAGTGCACACTACCTATTTAGTTACGTGTCAGCCCTAGGAGCTATTAAAAAGGGTGCCTTAGTGCTCTTTACTTCCCAGCTTTTGGGGGCGGGAAGGTCAGTCAGTGAATTACTGACAAAGACTGATACAGAACCCTAGTATCTGTAGTCTCTTCCCAAGGGCTTTCTACAGCATCAGATGAAGCAACTTATTGCAGATCAAGAGGAAGGGGTGCCTCTCTTTCTATGAAATTGATCAGGCCAGGAGACTGGCAGATGGATCCTCTTCCTACTAGCTTTTGTGGGCTTTAGGGTCTACACGTAATTTTCTTCTCCAAAGGCCTGGTAAGTCTCAGAACAAGTGTAAAATGACATGTGCGCTCATTTTACAAATGAGAAAGGTCGGGTTGGGGGTCCTCACAGTAGAGTTTCAAGACAGATTTGAATCAGCCTCTGCTCTTGGAGTCGTTCTGGAGTTTAACCTCTTGCTTCTTACCTTCCTAAGGACTCTCCTTGAAGTGGACGCGTCGTTTGGTTGCTAGGTAACCAAGCACCGCCACTCTGTTGCTAAGGGGAAGTCAGGCAATAAATATCCTGGGTGAAAGTTGACGGGTCACGTGACAAAATTTCTGGGCGGTGAAACGCTTCTAACACCAACCAGCCTTGAAGAAAACAAATGTCTCTCCAATCAGCGCCGTCAATGCACCGCAACGCTTTCTTTATTTGGATAATTGACACGCCTTTTACCCAATCACAGTAAGGATTCTCTAGACTGACTAACAGGCTAATGAATCAAAATGAAGGGCCGCTGGTTTGGAGGCGGGTCCGGGGTTGTGCCGCTAGGCTGACGGGGACCCCAATGACTTAGCTTGCTTCGTGCCCAATCGGACGCTGCGGGGTGGGAGGGACTTCACTGAGAGTGGCGTGCTGTCCAATCGGAGGCTGGCTGGGTAGACGCTGCCCAATAGGGATGCACCCAGAGGGCGAGGTCAAGCCGGCGCTCGGCGTTCCCTAGTGTGGGGCGGGGGCAAGTGTCAGTCAGGGCAGAGCGCGGCGCGGGCAGTGGAGACCCGCGGCATACGGGCATCCGGGCAGGAACGAGGCCTGCAGAGATGGAGTTCCTGCTGGGGAATCCGTTCAGCACCCCTGTAGGGCAGTGTCTTGGTAAGGCCGCGCGTGGGGCAGGCGTCGAGTGAGCCACAGAGCGGCTGGCCGGGCTGGTGAGGTCCGGGGCCTCCTCCCGGCACAGATATCACTTCACGTGCGGGTTGGGCCTCTGCCAATAAGTGGTGTCATCTCAAAGGTGGACCGGGCATCCTTGTCATGAGGCCTTTGCCTGACGCTGGTGCCACCTCACCCTGCCAGGAGGCTCCCCTGAGGTGCAACTTGGACTCTGAGAGGCCACCCTGCATCCCTACCTATCAAGGCCCAACCTTTCCAAGTCTCTCCCTAGAAGTAGTGCCTATGCTGGTTTGCCTACCCTTGCGTATTGGGAGATGTCATTGTGAGCAGTCTACTCCAGGCATCTCGCTGCGTCTGCTCCCAGGGCTTCTTTCTCCCAGAGTCTTTGTGGAATGTCATATCGTTCTTCCATCCTCGTTCCTACTCATTGGTACCAATGTCTCTGAGGCTGGGCAACTTCCCAGCAAATGTCCCATGCTGCACGGCTTCTAATTTGAGCTGCAACTCAGCCAGGCTGTAGGAGGGCCTGGAATGGGGGAGGCGCTCCGGAAGGTGACTGTCTTGGCAGTGGGTTGGCATGTCTGCAGAGCCTCCTAGGAAAAAAGGGAGGCCAGCCATGCTGTTTGTTGATAAGCACTGCACTGAAACCCGGAAACATGGACTCCAGTGGCGACTTTGCCCGGGGCTCTCCTCTTGACCTCATTCTCTTGTATGTCATACCAGGTGTTTAGGGATAAGATGTGGTGGGACTTTCCAAGTTTCCAAGTTTTTAACCTTCCTTGTTGATATTCAGTGTTCCCGACATTGACTCCTGTTCCCCCTCTATATTCAATTGGCAAGACTGAAGTCTTGCTGGTAGTACAGTACTCAGGTCACCTGTCAATACTTTAAGGAACCAGAAATGGGCAGCATGCCACATGTGGAAAAGCACAGGCAAAGTGGCCACTGTTAAGTTTCCTTACTGAAAAAGCTACGTGCAGACTGGGGCATAGTTCAGTGGTAGAGCTAGCTAAGCACACATAAAATCCTAGATTTGATCTCCAGCATTGCCGGTAATAATAATAAACAAGCAATTTGGCTTTTCACCCAAAGCAGGAACTTAAGCCAAAGCATCAGTCAAAAATGCTGATTAATGTCTTTTAAAACTATGTTTTAGAGCCGGAGTGCCGGCTCACTAGTTAAGAGCTCTGGCTCTTGATTCAGGTTCAATTCCCAGTACCTGCATAGTGGTTCACAATGGCTGCAATTTCAGTTCAAGGGGATTGATTGCCCTCTTCTGGCCCCTTTTATATACACGGTACATAAATGATGCACAGACATACAGGTACACAAAACACCCACATATAACATGTTTAAAAATTAGACGTTAGAGGTGGGTCAGTATCTGACTAGTCCAGGCAGTGAAGATTTGCTTATTTTCTGCTTTGCATATGAATTCACAGCCTACTTTTCAGACTTTAGATGGGCCTGTGGACTCACCGAGGCTTCTTCTGTTGGTTGCATGGCATTTTAGGGGCATTTTGTTCCTCCTTGGTACAGTGTCTTTTATAAATGATCATGGATATTGGGACCTGAAAGCCTTTTCCCACTTTTGTGACACTTTGTTCTCTGATGCTCACGCTGGTATCTCTCTATTTGTTTTCAATTGTATATGTTTGTTTTGCCTTCATGTATGTCTATATACCACTTGTGTGCCTTGTGCCCACAGAGGCCAGAAGAGGTTGTAGGGTCCCCGTAACCAGAGTTAAAGACAGTTGTGAGCTTCTTGTTAAAGACAGTTGTGAGTGTTAAGAATAAAGCCTGGGTCCTCTGGAAAAGTAGCCAGTGCTTATAACCTCTGAGCCATTTCTCCAGAATCCCCTCTCTTTTTGAAAATATTTTGTTTTATTATGTGTGCATGTGTCTGTGTGAGCGTATACATACATGTGTGCATGCGCATGCGCGAGCGCCTGTGAAGGAAAACGTTGGATCCCGTAGAGCAAAATTACAGGCGTTTGTAATCTGGCTGATGAGGATGCTAGGACCCTGTTTTGTAATCTGTCTGATGAGGATGCTAGGGTCCTGTTTTGTAGTCTGTCTGATGAGGATGCTAGGGTCCTGTTTTGTAATCTGGCTTATGAGGATGCTAGGGTCCTGTTTTGTAATCTGTCTGATGAGGATGCTAGGATTTGTAATCTGTCTGATGAGGATGCTAGGATTTGTAATCTGGCTGATGAGGATGCTAGGATCCTGTTTTGCCCCTATCTTCAAGTGTTATTTCAATGCTGTCTAAACTCCTGTCTCAGTCCAGTGTTGAGTTCAAGCCAGTGAACTTGAGGGTTTTGTAGGGTTAGGGGAAGGAAGCTGGAAGGCATAAAGGGCAGAATGTCAAAAGGAGAAATAAGGGGTATAGGAGTATTTGAGTGGCAATAAATAAATACACGTGTTAGATATGACCTGAGTTGAATGACCTTGGCTGTAGAACCTGAGAAGATTGCATGGTCCTTCTGAGCCCTAGTGTGACTGCCTGCTGAGCTAAAAGGAGAGGAGGGTGGGGAGAGACTTGTAAGAGTGCTGCGGTTTGACGGGGATGATGCCTGCCAGCAATTGCTATCTTATCTGGAACACTGTAAAGACTCAGTAACTTGGGCCATCTTTGTGTTCACATCAGATTAAGTCAGGGTTGTGTTTTCTATCAGAAGAGGCCATGGGATGGGACTGGTTTATGACCTCCCAAGCCTTAGGTCCACTGTTGCTTATAAAAGATACTCGAGGAGCTAGATAGATGGTTCTTATTAAGAGCATGTTTTGCTCTTGCAGAAGCCACAAGTTCAGTTCCCAATGTCCACATGGCAGGCAGCTCATGACCATCTGTAACTAGAGTTCCAGGGGATCCGACACCTATTTTTGGCCTCTGTGGCATGCATGTGGTGCATATACATACTACAGGCAAACACACACATACGCATAATAAATAGGTAAATAGATCTTAAGAAAAATAAATTTGATCATGAAGATGATGAAGGGTTTCTGTTGCTAGGCAGCCAATAGTCAGCAACTAGGCCTTAGTCATTTTAGTTTGGAAAAATGATAAATTGACATATTGTATTTTTAATGGATATTCTGTAGTATTGTGGCAAAGAGTAAACATGATTTTTGGTATTGTGATTTCTTTAACTATGTACATATGCTGGGAATGGTGGTACATGCTAGTAATCACAAGAGGCTCAGGAGTTCAAGGTCAGTTTCAGCTACATAGAGAGTTTGAGGTTGTTGTGGGCTACGTGGGACTCTATCTCAAGACACCATCAGCTGGCTGGAGAGATGGCTCAGCGGTTAAAAGCACTGGCTGCCCTTCCAAAGACCCTGAGTTCAATGCCCAGCAACCACATGGTGGTTCACAACCAGCTGTCATTAGATCTGGTGCCCTCTTCTGGCTTGCAGGCAGATATTCAGGCAGAACACTGTATACATAACAAATAAATTTTGGGGAAAAAAAAGACACCATCAGCAATAACAATAAGTATGTTCTGGGGATGAGGAGAGGGTATACAACCACAAGGTTACTGATTTAAACAGCAGTTGGAACTGGAGAGATGGTTCGGCAATTAAAAGCACTGGCTGCTCTTCAGAGGATCCAGGTTTGATTCCCAACACCCTCAGGGCAGTTCACAACTGTCTGTAGCTCTTATCTCAAGAATTCTGAGACTCTTCTGCCACTGTGGATGCCACAAAGTATGTATGTGATGGGCAGATATATATGTGTAGGCAAACTACCCATATACATACAAATAATAAATAGATAGATCTCTAAAAAATGTAATAGCAACTATGGGGCTGGAGAGATGGCTCAGAGGTTAAGAGCACCTATTGTTCTTGCAGAGGACCCAGGATCTGATGCCAGTACCCACATGATGGCTCACAATTGCCTGTAACTTTAATTCCAGGGGAACTGATACCTTATTTTTATCTCCATGGGTTTCTGTATGCTTGTGGTGCACATACATGCACTCAGGCACACAAACATACACATAAAATAAAAATAGTTAAGACAGTAGCTAAAAGCCATTCTACAAGGATTATTTTTTCCTTCCAGCTGTTTTGTCATAAGTTGTCTTTCCCACTTTAGAGATGAAGAAACTGAGGCTCGGAGGAGTGAAATGACTGCTTAGCTGGTAGGTGAGAGAGCCAGGAATTCTGGTCCTGGGGTTTAGGGCTTTGGCAGAAAACACAGCTGCCTGGACTGCTGATGAGTGTAGGAGTTTAGAAGATGTCAGAAGAGGGTGGGACACAGGAGTGGGTGTGTCCTCTGAGTCTGAGGTACTATTCTAGGCAAGAGAAGGATCTGGTGAGCCCTGAGACAACTGAATGAGCAGGGAGAGGGGAGAGGACATGGGCTTATCTGACCACCAGACTGAGTAGAGAGAGGTGGCTGTGGGGAATGTAGTAGGTAGGGTTGAGTGACAAGATGAGGCTCTACTCAGGGTGGGCAGTGTCAAAGATGACATTTTTTTCTGTGCTAGGATTGGCTTCAACTTTTAGTTTCTAGACTGTATTTTCCATTAAGTCCTTATTAGCTGCACATGCCTCATACATAAGTATCTTGGCCATCCTTGGGAATACAGGTGTTTGTGGGGTTATGCTTGGGCCCAGGGCCTGAGTACCAGCAAGTATGGTATGCAGATATTTAAAAGCTACTTACTATCAAGGAGCCTTTAGGAGAGTAAACACCCTCACTAGATGTGCCCTGGGCTAGAGTGGCTGATGGAGAATTAAAAAAAAAATTTACTTATTTTATGTGTGTGAGTGACCTGTCTTGTCTTCAAGCACACCAGAAGAGAGAATCAGATCCCATTACGGATGGTTGTGAGCCACCATGTGGTTGCTGGGAATTGAACTCAGGACCTCTGGAAGAGCAGCCAGTGCTCTTAACCACTGAGCCATCTCTCCAGCCCCTAAGCAAATTTTTGTAGACTTCTAATGTGGTGCTGTTTGGTTCAATG